TAAGTATTCAGTCTTACATACTGAGTAGCCCCAAAGGCAGTAAACACTTGCATCGCTTATTGAGAACTTGTACGGTTCCGTATTCAAGAACTTAACACTTTGACACCGCTCTTATTAGCATAAACCCCTTTGTGTACTTTGGAATCTTCGGATTGCTGCAGTGCTCATTACAAGTATCGAAATTGTCCGGGCCGAGTTTCTGCTTAGAAGAAAGGTAACGAGTAGCAAAGGTGAAATGCTTATCAGACTGATATAAGTAGGTGCTTCCTCTAAATTCAATAAGGATAGCAACATGGGCTCCGGTCAAGCGATAAAGCATATTAGCCTTTTTCATTAAACCTTTCTTCCGATTCCAGAAGCCTTTTTTAGCGTCCTTAAAGCCCCTTATTTTTAGCATTATTGAAATAACTTCAGGAATAAGAAATAAGATAGGGAAAGGAAAATTAGATTTGGAACTGCTCTTAGAAGATGTAAGGAAATAAGCTATGTAAATGAAAATTCAGATTTGAAACTCATGCTTCTTATATACATAGTTTTTCTTATAATTTGAATAGCAATATTATATATAGCATTGCTCTAGATTTGAATTGTTAAGCTATTCGAACTACTAAGCTATTTCACTACTAGCCACTCGACCGACCCTTAAGCCACTCGACCGACCCCTAGGCCACTCGACCGACCCCCAGGCCACTTGATTCTCAAAAAGTTATTTAATCCTCAATTAATAAGCTATATATTTTTCAAACAAATTTAAAAAATCTTTATAAGAATACTATTAATCGAAAACTTAAATAAGCTATCAAATCATTTCTTTCTTTTACTTATAACTATATAAAATAGTTGCTTAACTTTTCATTTTTATTTATATATAATCTGCTATTGCGAAAAGATTTACAATTATATTTAAGCACTCTATTCTTATAATGGAAACAATAACAGTATACATTTTGAGTTTTAGCATTTTGATCGGAGTATTTCTATGCTATCGCATTTTGACTTTGATTTTACCACCAGTTTTTCATTATCTCAAATGCTTAATATTACGCTTTCTCATTCTATCAGTCTTTATCCACTCCAAACGCTTTATTACTTTAATTCGATTGCAAGCTCTTCTAATACTGTTATACTTTGCACTGAATATAACTATTCTTTGTATCAAGAATGAAAACCTTCAAAGAACTACAGCATTAATGGCTATAGCGAATTTGATCTCCAGTTCTCTTGGTAGCCGGATTAATCCGCTTGCAGATTTCCTTGGAATTTCTCTCCATCTATACTCTCTTATGCATCGCTGAACTGGAAAAGTTGCAATGGCGCATGCAATAATACACACATATTTTATGTTAAAGCAAGCACAGAGCTTAACAAAACAAGCTATTTCAGGGTATCTTGTAAGTTTAATGGAAATATTTGCAATACAAAGCTAATTTTTCGAAAGGCTTTAGAAAGCTTAGCTGCTTTGTTTATTACTACGCTATGGTTTTGAAAACAGTTCTTTATATAGCTTTGGTCAAAGCTACATCTATTCCTCGAACTTATATGCTTAGCCGGAATTATGTAGCATGTATTAAGTCTTGATGCATATCCGAAGATCCTCGCTATTATTACTACTTCGCTCTCGATTTCCACATTTATATATCGCTTATTTCGCATCATATTCTTTCATACTAGCGCATCTATCACTTCATATACAAATCAGAACCAACTTATATAATTCGAAGTTAAGACTAATTAATCTATATCTATTCTTCCAAACTCATATTTTCATATCATCTTTCCAGGAACTCAGCTGCATTATAACCTTTTTCAAAGTTACCCCTTGATAATAATAAGCTATCAAGATAAAGTTTCTGAGATAATAATCTTGATTACATCGATTCCAAAAACAACACATCTGAAAATTGAAACACCAAATATAGTCTTGAAAAAGACAGATACGATTGAGAAGATGCTGAACTTGCTTTCGGAAAAAAGAGGCTTAACTAAAACAACATCGAACTTAGTTTTTTTTATGAATCCAAAGATGCACGCTAAACACTTGTGGGATTTGAGCAAAGGAAAAAAGATATTGCTTGATAATCCATATAGATATGATGCAATTGAGGGGTACGATATTGTAATTCTTCTTGCAGAAGGATGGAGCATTGCAAGAATCTTATCATATATGACTGCTTTAGCTGCACGAAAGGATTACAATAAAAGCGTTGATCCGGAGAAAATATGTTTCCGAGATCGAATACGCTGTATCAACTTATTCTGGTGAGTGAAAGATAATGCTCAAGCTGAATGAGTATAAACACAACTTAGATACTTGCAATTTCTGAACTGAGAGAATATAAGCTTATAAAGCTTCACTTTTTGAGCAGATGCTAACATAAAACAAGTTACTATTTATAGTATAAGCAATATACTCTCAAGCATATAAAAAGATAAACAAAATCTTATTCGAAGATCGCTCTCATTAATCATATATCTCTAACTGCAATGAGCTACAGCGACAAAATATAACGGAGATAGTTCATAATAATATATACAGAGAAACCATACTTCCAAGCAAGAAGGTCATTATAGGTATGAATGAAGATGATTCTTATTTGTTATTCTAAAAGTATATGTAGCATTGGAAAACTTATGCTTTATATCTAACTAATACATTTAGCTTATGAAACTCGAGATTTCCTCAATTTATACTGCAACTTCGCTATTCTTAGCTGTTTCAGAAGCTTAGAAATTGCATTTATTACATTGGAATCTTCTATATAGCATATCAATTTAATTTACTATTTTTAAAGGAACATATTCTTTTTTCCTATCTAGAAATAGTAAAAGATAATTTTATCTAAGAATGCAATGTATATCTAAGTTGTTGTAATATTAGGGGCTTATATTGCTTGAGTTGTAAGCATTTAGATTATCTCTGATTAATTGTAAAGTCTAGAGCTGAAATTTTGCTAAGCTGTGCTTTTATTCTAACTTTCTCAAACTTCCCTTCAGTATATATCATCTACGCACTTATATATATGCTAAGTCTAAATAAAAAAAAGAACTTCTAACTCTATACGCTGCTCTTATTTTGCATTATAAGGTCTTTTGATGGTTTATATAATAGATTCGCTGGCTAAAACTTGTTGGAGCAGAGTGCATTGCTCTTCTTATCACTTTATATATCGCATCAGGTCTCTAGCTCTTATTTGCTTTCTGGTGCAGATAATACGAAGTGAACTATAGAATTGCATTCTACCTTTGTGCTTCCAGCAGCATGCTGGTTCTAATTAGCAACAAACCCTGCAAGCGATCTTATATCTTTTTTTTATTCTGTTTGATCTATCGCCTGAATACTTTGAATGCACGCTTACAAAAAGTCGCTAACCTATACAAGAAAGCTTGATATTTACAGCATAGCGCACTGTATTTAGAAATATCAACCCTCTTATCTTTCTTAATTCATATTCTATAACATAGGATTACCAGCTTATCTAACACTCTTGCTTATTAACTAACAATATCGGATTATATGTATTCTAGCAAGCTAAATCTTATTTACAAAGTAGGTATAAAAGCTAGTAAGTGATAGCAATATTCTAGCTCACTTCAAGATTATATAATGTTGCATGCACGAGTGCTCATCAGATCCTGTATAAGAACAGAGTCAAAGCGATTATCCAAACAGAAAGCACGAACTCGAGATTTTGAATGATATAAGCATTATCTTAGGGTCGATGGCGAGAAAAATTATAGTTACCAGCTTCTTATAACAGTCCAGAGGACGATAACTTATAGTCTGACTCCACCACGTTTGAGTCATCGAAGAACATGAAATCCATAAGGAAAGGCACAGAAGTATGTCTTGTAAGTGAACTGCTCCTTGGTGTTATGACCCATCCAACATGCAGGTCACGAAACCACGAAGGACACCCGAAGTGGACCCCTCTGAGCCCTACGGACACTCCTGAGCTAGATTAGCACTACGGCGTACTATGGGGTTATTGGTTGCGGAGGATCTTGATTACATACGTCAGTCTGTTCAATTAGTTATAAGCAAGCGACAGGCTTTCAAATCCCTCTTGAGACCAAAACAATCGCCCTTGGCTAGATTACATATAAGGCTCAGGCAACATGTAATAGTATGTGCGACATGAGAAGTGCTCATTATTCCGAATTTATTTGAACAGAAGATACAACAGCAAATGAGAGGCATGCAAAGATGACTGAGTACTGGCTCGCATCGCGAATCATATTGTAAACGTGATTATCGAGATTGAAATAATCAAGAAAAGCCATCTCTGTAGCAATCAGCCAAAGCTTTATATGTTAACATGTGCGAGGGCCAGTGAGTCACTGGCCCAGGGCCCGCGCACGGCCCCCAGCTAGCCTCAGCCTTTCTGGCCGTTCGTTCTTCTTTGCTTCCTTCCTTCTGTAGCGTTCCCTCAATTCAGTTCCTTTCCCATATAACACCATGTCCTGCTTCCAGGTCACTTGATTGCCCTGGTTGCATGATGAATGTGAAGTAAATATGACACTCTCCGATACTTATGCAGGAATCCTTGCAAAGTTAATTATCTGGGGCCTGAGCGCTGTGGGTGACAGGCGCTAGCGACGAAAACCCCTGCCAACCCCTGTAAATTCAGGCCCTCGACTCGGTTAATCCCTGCTTTTTCAGGCCCCCCAGGGGGCCCCTGCAGAGCAGGCGCTGACTTATTAGCAGCATTAGCCAGGGTTAGGGGGCGGGTTAGGGTCTGAGTTTCGTGGCCCCCCGATAGCAGCCAGCCCGCCGGGCTGGCTGGGCTCCGGATGCTCCGTGTGGTCCGTGCACGCGCCCTCAGGATATATCCTCGGATCCTGAGAATTCTTCTGGACCCTCCTCCTTTCTCTTTCTCTTTCTTCCTACAACTATCTGCCACGAACGGCTCGTTTTTCTATCTTGATTATGCTCGCACCTATTGGTGCCAACTTGATTCCCGATACCACAAGGAACTGAACCCACCCGGCCGCCAAGGAAGATGCCGCCCAAGCAGGCGGTCAAGGAGAAGGCGGCGGCCGCCCCGAAGAGGAAGAGAGCCCCTGCGAAGAAGAAGAAGGGGGGAGGCACAGGCGAGGCCCACGTGGAGGAGGACGAGGATGAGCAGGGTCAGCCGGGCCCCGCCACCCCTGCCGCTTCCGCCGGCCCCTCCTCGGGATCCGGCATACCCTCCTCGCACATCACGATCACCTTCCCGCCCGGGTATATGGAGGGATCACCCAGGAAGCTGCCAGCCGTGCCGGACCTAATCCAGTTCCCGGAGAAGCTGACGAACGCGCAGCTGAAGGCGGAGCTGGCCAGCACCAAGTCTCTATGCTGGAAGTACGACCTGCTGCTGAACTACGGCTTTCTTCCTATGAACGAGATCTATAATAAGGATGGGACTGCCCTTCGCCTGCCCTGGTGGGATGAGAAGCCGGATGCCCTCGCTATGGTCCAGCATGAGTCCCGGGCCCCGACCAAGGATGAGGTCAAGAATAACGCCAATTTTATTGGCAAGAAGTATGCTGGCGTCACCCTCTTCTACCCGCTGATATCGACAGGCCTGGCGAATGAGCCGCTGGGCGAGGTCCTCGGGCTCCAGGAGGTCCGCTATGTGTATATGCACCAGACTTGTGTAGGTAAGTATCAGACCAGGCCTAAGCAAGGACCAGATCCCGGGTATTGGGTCAAGTTGAGTTGGCACCGATCGGTGCCAATACCCTCTCCTTTCCCCCTTTCTCTGGCAGCCCCTGTGCACGGGTGCACGCCTTCTCTTCCTTTCCTTTCCTCCCGAGATGGCACCTATTGGTGCCAATCTCCCCCCCAAAATCTCCGCCTGGCACCCAGATAGGGCCAGCCAGGACTGTTCTCCCTGCCCTCATCCGCACCCATCGGTGCCAACTCTCCCAATATCATCCCTCCTAGGACCGCGGACGGTATAGGCTGACCTGCTCCCATCTACAGCTTACAAGTTCTTCGGGCCCCTCTGCAGGGCCAAACTGCTGAAGTTTTGGGGCCACGAGCACACGCAGGCCGACGCGTTCAAGCAGTATACTGAGCTTGTCGAGGGCTTCAGCAACGCCAAGATGCGGTCGATCTGCCGCGGGGTGCTCGAGGACGAGAAGGAGCCGCTGCAGCTGATCCGGAATGGCGATATTGGCCTGTCCCAGCCCGAAAAGATCAACGTGAACGCCACAGCAAATATGGCGGTGCTGAAGTATCTTGCCCACTGCCCTACGGGCCTCTTCCCGGACGCTGAGGGCACCAAGCGCTACACCCGCTACAAACCCTCCAAGGATAAGCTATGGGGATTCTCCTTCGACGACATGTTTCGGGGTGTCAGCTCGTACATCGCATGCCTGCGCCAGCGGTTCGCCTCCAACATGACCAGCACCAAGAAGGCAGGCGGCCTGGACTCGATAAAGATGCCGATGCTCGGCAAGTCGCGCATCAACTACTACACCAGGGCTACGGCAGCCCAGTACAGCCGCTTCCTCGAAGACGACTCGAACGACATCCCCGAGAACCTGGCCGCCCAGTCTGTCGTAACCATAGCCGAGGAGTTCCGCCGCCTACAGAGCAAGCTGCCGCGGGACACAGACCTCGAGAAGACCGGAGAGCTCTACGAGCGGCTCTGGCGTCGCACCGGCTTTCTGGCTATGACGGCCAAGTACAACCGGATTAACCGAGCTGCTGCAAGCATAGCCAGGGCAGGCAAAGGAAACCGCCGCCTGGAGATGCTGGACGCGATGGATAACATTCCCCCCATCGACTGCCGCAGCGTCCTTGCTCTTGTAAACGAGATCTACAACCGTGGCCTGCTCGCGAGACCTACTGTTACCATGATCGAGAACGAGCTCGTATACGAGACGTTCCAGGCCCTGCTGACTGACACCATCAGCATCGAGCAGTACATGGCGACGCGTGAGCGAGATGGCGATCTCCTGGAGGAGGCTGTCAGCGGGTGCCTGGTGGACACGGAGCAGACAGCCCGGATGCGAGCAGAGGGCGTCCCGGCCGCCGAGATCTACAGGCAACAACTAGTCGAGTGCCACGCCCTGCTGGGACTCCTGCCGGCAAGACTGCCTGCCGAGGTCACATTCGTCGAGGCGCTGAAGGGCCTGAGCATGTACGCAGAGGGCATGGAAGGCAATGAGAAGTACACCGACCTGCGCCTCTGCTGGGACCTAGATGAAGAAGGAAAGGCCAGCACACGTTCGCCCTGAAGCCCTTCCAGGTTGTAGGTGAGTTGAATCCTGCCCTGGGTTGGCACCTATCGGTGCTAATTCCCCCCTGGCTCCTCCGCACCCATCGGTGCCAACTCCCCTCTACTAATATATTTCCCAGATGTCTTCGCGCTGCGCATAATGGTCAAGAGTGCTATGCAGGGTGCCCTGCTTGCTAATAAGGTCGGGACTGGGAAGACGCTGGTCTTTATGGCAGAGCGGTACGAGTTTATCAAAGAGCGCCTGAGGAGCCTGGACAAGCACGGTTTCGACGAGGATAACGACTGCTCATCAGAACTGCCCTCGACCATTCCGACTATGCTCATAGCGCCTGCCAACCTGGTCGAGCAGCACTTTAACGAGATCTCGCGTTACTTCCCTGCCGATACTTTCAAAGTGCGCTGCTTCCACAGGTCGACGAGCAACACGAGCCATAATCCTGCAATGCAGCAGGCCGTTATGACATCTAAACAGCTATAGGCCGAGATGGAGGTGGCTGTCGTGCAGGCAAAGACGTCTCTGGTATGCAAATAAAGCGCCTGAGGGGGAGTTGGCACCCATCGGTGCCGATTTATCCCCCCCTTTTCCCCTTCCTCGCATCTATCGGTGCCAACTTACCCTTAAGCATTACTGACGCCCTGTTTCCGACAGAATATGCGCAAGATCTGGATCTTCTTATACTCGACGACTGTTTTTCGCCTGCTCAGAAAGGAATGGGGAATGACTTATGTTATCGATAAAACTAGGTTGCCCTATGATCACGGCATATGGGAGCTCGATACACATGATATCAGCCCTAGCTACGACGAAGGCCAGATCACTCTGATCTGCAAGACGGTCGAGGCCGCGTATTCGGGCTCTGTCTATCCGCTACCCGTGCCTCCAACCGTGCCTGACCCAGACGAAGAGAACGACCCCGCCTACTAGGACCTAGAGCAGGCGGCTATGGCAGATACTGACAATGCTGCCCCAGGCCCTGCAGAAGAGGGCGGCAGAGCTGCGGCAGAGGCAGATGTCGCCGAGGTTCGCGAGGTTCCTACAAGTGTCTGCAACCGTCTCTTGAAAGAGTGGCTGGAGGCCGGCAATCCCACTATGCGCGATGTTGATGGCAAACAGGTCCAGATGCAACCCAGGTTCTACCGCAGGTACTGTATGACCCGTTTTCCAGAGGGGTTTTACTTCCAGCATATCATCCTGGACGAGTGCTATACCGTGTGCAATTACAATACCGGATGGTCGCGTGCAGTCCGTATGATGATCTGCGCTGCCTACAAGGATCGGCCCGATGCCGATACCAACCCTGCCTCGTTGGTCATGGTCTCGGCAACCCCAGCAATTAATTAGCTATCGGACTACTTCGGGCTGGCTGGTCTTTTCTAGGAGAATATGAACCTGCCCTGCCTGGGTTCCTGCTTTAAACCAGAGTCGCCGCTGGATAAGGATGGTTGTCTGCAGGGGCTCTCTGACCGCATCAGCGACATACGCAAGAAGGAACTGAGCGATGCTGCTGCCTCTTGAGGATGGGAGTGGTGGTCGCTGATGCTCACCCACCGATACCGCGACGAGACCCGGGACCTTGTCCGCAAGATCCTCAAGTGTCTCGGCATGCGCCGCGGCATGAACACGATCACCTATCTCCCCGACTATGCGGACGGAACACCATGGCTTGTCTGTCCCGGCGACGGTATCCCCCCGCACTATGTCGAGACTTATGAGGTAGGGCACACTATACTGAAGCCAGCGGTGGATCAGTGTATGAACCAGCATTTCCGCAATTTGGCTATAGGCGAGGATGAGGACGCAGGCACTCATGAGTACATGGTGACTCTGCCCGGGACTGGAGGCATTTCTCAGCAGGAGACGAAAGTCGTCGAGGTAGTCGTGGATACCACCGATAAGGATGACGACGACACCGGAGCCCGCTTGGACGGAGGCCTGTTGCGTGTCCTTATAATCGCCTCGATCTGTTGGCTGAGCTACGAGGCCATGACCTGCGAGGACTATGTGGGTGCCTGCAGTGAAGAGGACGCTATGATGGACCTGGTCGCTGCTGATGAGGCGGGCGACTCCGAGTCTGCCAAACGGGCCAAGGCCCGTGAGACTACTGCACAGAGGGTGCGCGGCCAGGATGGCGGACCAGTTACTTTCGGCGCCGAGCACACAGAGGCTGTCCTCCAAGGCACGGGCGATTCGGGCCTCTCGTACCTTCAGCTGCTCGGCTATGGCGACAACCCCTTCGACTTCATCCCTACAGAGCGCAAGGCTGTCTTGAGCCGCGTTTTGTGCAAGTCACCGATCAATACATGCGTGCTGGAGATCGTCGCCCAACGCGCTGCTAAAGGCGAGAGGACCCTTGTGATGGTGGCCACCCTGTGGGAGCAGCTGTAAGTACTAACTCGGATAAGGTTGGCACCGATCGGGTGCCAACTTCTCTTTTATTTTCCCGCTATTCCCCCGAGTTGGCACCCATCGGTGCCAATTACCCTTTATTTTCCCGCTATTTCCCCCCAGATGGCACCTATTGGTGCCAACTCCCTTTTTACCCCCTGTTCGCACCGATGGGTGCCAACTCCTCCTTCTTTATAGTTCCGAGCTGACAAAATCGTAGGCTGTTGGTTGCTATCCTCGAGAAAGCCTGCCTGTCGGTCGTCTCTATCCGTGCAGTGATGACAGCAGCAGAAAAGTCTGCTGCCATTGCTAAATTTAACGATCCCGGCTCCAATCTCAACGTCATGGTGCTCAACCAGCGCTGTGGCTCGGCAGGCCTAAACCTGCACTACTGCTGTAACTATGGCATCCAGTTGCAGTACCCTTGGAACTTCGGCACAGCGGGTCAGATGCGGGGGCGGGTCGTCCGCGTCGGGCAGACCAAGCCCGTCACCTAGACTGTGCTGCGCACCTCGGATTCTATCTACGACTTTCAGGAGTATAAGGCCGCGGCCAAGGAGGTCTAGTCTCTGGTTACAGAGCTGCAGTTCCCAGAGTGGCTTGAGGAGTACTCAGGGCTGCGTACACTCGTGGCATACGATGTCCTGCGGGTCATGTGGAGCCAGCCGTTCAATCGGTTTACCTGGGAGAAGATATACCCTGTGGATATTCAGGACTTCAACTCGGTGGAGACCCGCATGTTCGGCAAGTTCTACCGGCTGCTGTCCAGATTCTTGCTGAGCATCGATCCTAGCGAGATCGACAAGGAGGACCTCTACAGCCTTCTCGCGGGCCTGGATCGGTTCTTAGATGTTTTGCCTTTCGTATATGCGGAGATATGCGAGAAGGAGGGAACGTCGGACGATGACGAGCTGAGCTTCGAATACCTGAGGGATATGATCGCGAGCTGCCAGGATGAGTGGGTCAGCAAGAAGCGCAAGGGATTTGCGACGCACGAGTTCGGCAGTGTCAGCAAGAAGCGCAAGGTGGTCGATCATGTGGCTGAAGAGGCCAAGAGGGAGGAGAAGGCTGAGAAGGCCGAGAAGGCCAGGAAGGCTCGCGCCGCTAAGAAGAAGAAGAAGGAGGCTGCGGCCGAGGTTGCTACGGAGACCTCGGAGTACCAGCCGGACGAGAGCAGCAGCACCAGCAGTGATTCTGCAGGACCCCCCTCCCCCACCCCTACCGGCACATCGTTGTCGGCGCCTGACTCGCTGGAGGTATGATTCTATGCTGTCTATGCTGGCTGCTCTGTTGGATGGTAGAATCTTTGCGCTGTTTTTTTCGTTAGTTCATATCTAAGTCCGCACAAAGGCGCGGGCGAGGCCCATAACCTGGGCCGTTTAGATACCCAATCGATGCTTTCCCTGTATTGGCCTTAGGTGACATCGATAGGTGCCAAATTCCTTATTTACCCCTCAACACTCATCGATGCCAACTCAACATGCCTAAGGTTACGATACGCTAGAATCAGTCCTCCTTTAGAATGGCTGCTCGGCCCGCTAGGTATCAGCAAGATCCCAAGTAGAAAGAAAAACAAGACAAGATGGTGGCGATTGCTTATTATCTACCGACCGATTCTACCATCACAGTTCTTCTCCTCCACGATGCCTACATTCTCGAAGAAGTTGCAAGCCCCACAACCTAGCTCCTCCTTCCCAGGCACTATGAAGCATCCATACAGCATGCCCCGCTCATGCCACTCCTCTCGACAATTCTTGCACTTCTGCACCGTCACGCCTCGGCTCTGTATCAGGAGGCCACGCAGTGCACACTCATCATTCAGGAAGATCTTTACATGGTCCTTGATATCGGTGTCTGCACCGATGTAGACGTGCACATCTCTGGCAGGCATGCTAAGCAGCCGGGTAATGATTTCCTGCGATACCGTGTTAGAATTCTTTCCTACGGGGCATGTGTGATTGACTTACATTGTCCTTGTACCTTTCCTAAAGGTAGGCCTGAATCACGGGGTCGGAGAGCTTGAACCTCCACTTGGCATACGCGGGGTGGGTATTGCCCTGATCGACGGCCTTCTCGGCGAAGATGATTTTGATCGTAGCGATATTCATTTTCTAAATTTTTTTTTTTTTTTTTTGGCAGAATTAGCATTCGAACTCATGACCTTCTTGAAATAATTAATCAAAGTTGCTCGCCCTGCCGACTGAGCTACACTTGTAATACCACACTTGTGGTCGGTGAAGAAAGATGTATTGTTTGATCCTATATGCTCAACAACATATGCAGAGTTGTGGCAATATGCTTCCCTCTATACCCACAATAGCAACTCGCACCATAAGAGAACGAAAATGACAATCAAATCGAGCCATGCAACAGCAATTCACAAAACAAAGTATCATCGCGCCTCAGTTGATAAAGGTCCCATATGGGTAGAATCGTTATGGGCTTTGGGCTTTGCTACTGCAATGTTCGTCAGCGCAATTGGAATGCTTTTCATACTGCCACGAGCACCAAGTAAACTTTTTATAAAAGGTCCTAATACGACCGCCTATCACTAACTGCACGGATGATATTGACATATATGGCTTGTATATCCATCCATGTAGCTCGAGGCCTTAGTTCTTCAAGTGCTGTGCTGAATGTTGGTTCCTAATAATTAGTTTCCTAGGATTCACTGTTCCTGTGATCTATTTTATGACCTGCATAAGTTATGATTTTCGGAAAGGGGGTATTCCCTCAAATTCCTTTGTTAGATCCAGGCTCTATTTCTGTATCTATAGAGCTCTAGTGTATTCTAACCTTATGAGCGAAGTTTATTAACCAGCCAGACCCCGAAACTACCATACAGCCATACTAGCATTGATTCTCCGAACGACCCTCCAGAAAGCATATGCATTACGCACAATGCAACTGCTACAGCGTATGGGGCCGAAGAGCTTTCCTGTCTAAGGGGAACATAGAGTACATAAGCTGTACTTTTCCCGTCCCAGCTAGGAGATATGTCGCTTAAGTGCTTTCCTTAACGAAAACAAGATTAGAAGACAATTTTAATAGGTTTCTAGAAATAGTCTCTACTTACCTTCAAAGTCTTTGACTTTTTTGACAAGCGATTCGGGAATTGTCTTATTATACTTTTCGACAATAGAATGTGTGATCACAGGATCCACATTGTTCTCTAAGCTGGTTTCAGCTGCTGTTGTAGATATGTTAGAACAACATGTGTTAAAAATACATGATGAAACTACTTGCCATTGTGTCGCCGGAGAAGCGCTAGCTGGTCTAGACTCAAAAAGCCGCCTTGTTGGAGTTGGTCAAGGTCTTTCCCGTATATCACAAGCTTGTAGGCTTTGTTCGACTTGATATTGGTTTGGTCTTGTCCTTGAAGCAAGGCCTTCAAGATTGATGCCAAAGCTTTCAAATCCATTGATTCTAGCCTGATTTCTTCCTGGGGAAAGAAAAGGGGGGGGGGGGGAATGGAGTATAAAGTGCAAAGTTTTGATATCGACAGGTGACAAGAGGGGGTTATATAGTGCTGAAAATGCATTTCACCCTGTCGCAAAAGCGATCGCCTGTGCATCGACACTAGTATACTCCATATCTCTTCACACGCCTTTAGTCAAATTCGAGGTTGCAGTCAGCATGCAGCTACTTAAGTGCTTATCGCCCGCAGCATTCAGGCTCTAGCTCTGCAAAGTAAAGCAGGCACTTGCAGGTCAATCTATCCTGGTTCTCGTTCTCGCCTCGCAGCTTGGCCTCGGACAGCGCTGATCAGACCGCGTTTGGTCTTAGTACTCCGAGCAGAGTACCATCTGCAGGATTTTCTCAGGCTCTCCCAGGTAGCGCAGAGCGCTTTGCCATCCCTTCTGATCTCACTTTTCAAAGCTTGAGTAGAGCATGAGTTGATGAACTAAGATTCTCCAAGGGAAACAGGGGTAACTGACAAAAGGTCGGGTGGAGACCGTCTTTCATAGTAGTGATCCTACCTTTGGCCCTTGTCCTCGGGCGGAAGTATGTACTTTAGTACTGCAAATTGAGCGTGCAGGGATTCCCGGCAAAAGGTGTCCCATCCCGGGTGGCTACTGTAGTAGTGGCGCTGCACCTACATTTTGTCATCTTCCGAACTACCAGAGCGTCATGGCCCCTGCAAAAGCCCTGGTCCACATTGATGGATTCGGGCATCAGACGCCGATCAGCAGGGGACTGCCCTGGTCGGGAGAACTGTAGTTACTTTTTTCATCCTGACTCCTTTCTAATTCCACGGAGCTTGGAATCTTGATGATCTTTTCAAACTGACCACAACCTCTTACCCGATCTTTCTTCCTTCCATCCGTACCCTTTTCCGCGAAATAATATGGCAGGAATGCTTCCAAGCTCCGTACATCTGACTAGCGACACGATCTTCATGGCTGATAATTTGGCCAATCAGAGTCACAAGATTTCCAAGTCTGTCTTCGTTCACCGCAAGCTAGGAATATTGCAAGATGCCAAGTTGGATAGTTGGAGCAAAGTGACTGAGAGTAAGCACGGCCCTATCTGTCTTGAGAACTGTAATGCCTGGGCTCATAGAATTCTAGATCGATTCGTTGGAAATGCACAAGCGTACTGGCACAAAGCTGGTCAGGCCAGTTATGCTCAGTCCAAGTGTGTGTGCAGAGCTGAGGATGGATGTGTTGAGGCCTGCCACAACCGCGTTATGCGGTATGAGTGTTATGACACGAACTGCAATGCTGGGGAGATGTACTGCCAGAACCGGGCTTTCCAGAGCCTTGTTCAACACAATGTGGAAGTCATTGAGACTCCAGATCGTGGTTGTGGCGTGCGCAGTAATCAGTGTTTTGAGCCCGGCCAGCTTATATTGAAATATACAGGAGAAGTTGTCACAAGGGCTGAATGTGAGCGCCGTATGAAGCAAGAGTACAAGAATACCCAAGTAAGTTATAAATGGAAAATGTACAATAAAGCATCAACACTAATTTACTTTAGTGCTATTATTTCATGGCTTTTGATCAGAATCTAATTATTGATGCCACCAATGGCAACATAGCTAGATTCGTAAACCATTCATGCGATCCGAATTGCCGGATGGAGAAATGGATTGTACGCGGCCTACCGACAATTGGCCTTTTCGCAGGGAACAATCGGATCATGGCAGGGGAGGAGCTGACGTTTGATTACGATTTCGATCCATTCTCAACGAAGAAACAGAAGTGTCTATGTGGAAGCGCAAATTGCCGTGGCGTTCTTGGCCCAAGACCATCGAAATCTTCCAAGAGCGAGACGAAAGCTATGGAGGCGACTGCAACTGAAAACGATGGAAAACGCAACTTGGAAGCACTCAATCGCGAAAAGGCTGCGACAAGTGCCAGAAAGAAGCATACGAGAAAGGTTGTGAGCGGTACGCGATCTCGGAACATACATACTACCGGGGCTTTCAAGACGACGGCAAATAGAATCTCAGTCGCCGCGAAAGTACATCTCTCTGCCTTTCGGTCGAAGAAACTCCCCGCATCTGATCCGCTGTATGTGACTCTATTCTTGAAAACATATGATCAGCAGCTGATTTCCAGCAGTGATACTTTTCCAAGATCGATTATTACCAGATCCAAAGCAAAAGCGTCGCGTAAGATGACTAGCGATGCGTTCGCATATTTGGCTGAGTCAGTCACGAAGAAAAGCATTGTTGAAAAAGACCTGAAGAATCTACCTAAAAAGGATCCCATGACAAAGACCGGCATCTCTATTCAGAACCCGATCAAGTTCACACTCCAGCCACTAACTTCAAATTGTGATCCTCCCGTTGGGCCCATGCCTTCATCAAGACCATTGCCAACAAAAGGCCTATCTATTATCCCGAAAGATTCGAAAACAGCACCAGTGACACCAACACCGACAGCTGTAACAGCATTGCTACCGCAAAGTTTGCCTCAAGCTGCAAGTATTCAACTGGCTCAGATTCGCTGTTCAGAGCTCAAAGCAGAGCCTGATCCTATCATTATAGCTATAGCACAGAAGGCTATTCAGAATTCTGAAAGCCGAAACTTGATGGAACGGGTGGCTGATGGTAACGCTTCTGCGAATGAATTCGCTTGTTTTGAATCCCTTTGTATTCAGACTGTAGGAGAATCTGCTTGGAACAAATTTTCTGCTAGTTTTCGAATGCAGCAGAAAAGGGGACAGACCAAGGCATGCGGGGAGCGCAGTGACAACACGTCCTAATGCAGAGTCAGACTGCTGTATTTTGTAATTTGTTGTATGTTGTAGATATTGATGAATTCTAATCACAATAAACTATCTACTATGATCCACCTATTGCTGCTAGCATCTATATCTCAGCTATGTATTCGCAATGTCCTCTTCTGCGCCTTCCAAAGCAGGGTAATGTAAAATATCTTCTGTCACAGTGAACAGTGTGCTGGTTGGCCAATGAGAGGAGAATAGTTCGATAACAAAGTCATCTCAGGTTATAAATCCAGCTACTGCCCACCTTACTGTTGAGTTTATCCCCTTTCACTAGAACACATACATTCTTTCAATAAAAAAACACGGTGAGCAATTACTTAAGAAATCTTTGCATCAGTGACGGGACTGAACATTAACTTAGGTCGACACTACAACATACTCGTAGACTTAGAGTAGCAAAACACGGATGAAGACTGGCAAGATACGAAGAAGGAATGGCGAGATACAAGAGATGGAGGGTGAAATCGGAATTAAGGTTACTGTAACCACAGTATATGAAACAGTTGCGAGATGTGCATTTCCTGAGCAGGATATAACATCATTTGAGCCAACAAGCTGCATTGAGTCCTCAAAGGACAGGAACCAAAGCAGGGGCAGACCTAGCAGATTGGAGAAATCCCATGATGTTCTAAGCAGATTGTGATATTTTGGAGCGTAACCTGATTGCTTTGATTGGAGGCAAAATATTATAATTCATTTCAGATATACCTGGCCTGTTTCTATCAATAAAAAAAGTCATATTCTACGCTATCCTTGAAGCATGCTTATTCTGGTACAGAGAAGATTGATTATCAAGTCTTTAAGCCAGCATGTAATCCTTATTTGCTCTGTAAGTAGTCCTGCAAACGGCCAAGTGCCGTGGTCCATTCTGCATAGAAACGGGCTCTAAGTCAAGTTCCGGAAACAACTTCTGTATAAATAAATCAAGAACAGAACACACATAGTTGGAGATCGATTTGAAAAACACTTTGTGTGGCAACAAGTCCTTGCAGTAGGAAGGACAGAATGAAATATTCTGAGAATTGTCTAGCTGCCAGAAAGATAAGAAGCTGCACAATTATGAGCTCCAAGTGCGAGGAGAAATGCTGGTACAACTTGTGGTGACTTCCTAGACAGGATTATAGTTATTGAATAGAAGTTCGAGGTTATAGGTCCATAGTGAGACCATATAGGGGGCATTGCCTGGTTATATTACTGGCAAATCTTCAATAAAGCATTATGTATCTTGAACAAAAAAACTCAACCTTATCCTTTATCTGGGAATATGCTAAGACACTGCAGCATTTCCAAAGCCTATGCAAGTGCTGCTCCCACTTCGAAAGCATATTAAACTTGCATACCAGCCTCCTAGCTCTAATCCTTGCTGCTTGGATTAGTCCGGAACTATAGTAGCTGTTTTGCAGTATAATAGCTAGTTCGTGCCTTGGCTTCTCATCAAATCTTACAGATAGTGCAACAAGCTGCCGAGATAGCTCGTTGCAGCTTCTAATGCCGGTTCAATGCATCAGCAAGCAGGACCCACCCAGGGGATCATGTTCCGCATTGTCTAAAGAGACGCTGAACTACTCGAGGGAAGAAACGGAAGTAGTGGGTGACTAGAGACAGTGATGAGGATTGTATCATATGCATACTGCAGTCAAAGCTATCCTTGTTAAACCCTTCACCGTGTCTGATCAGCAGCGTACGATCAGCAGCGCCTACCAATCAGGAAGCTGGGCAATATGCAAACTTCAATAACAGATCTTCTATCCCTATTGCTAGCTTTTCTTTTCCTTGCGTCCGTCCCCCTGCTTTTGGTGGTTGTTGCTTCACATACGCCACCACCTGATTATTATCAGCTCGGCTAGCTTGCATAAGCGCTATCACTATGTCTCTAGCTTCAGAAGCATACAGTTCTAGTCTACATACATTTCCATCATTCACCCGGGGATTGCGCATGTATTCGGAAGTAAATAAAGTAGTATAAATGGAGAGGTCTCTGCATAAAATACATTTCTTGACAAGGCTCTGCATAATGTGCAATTTTAACAAGGTATGTCCAGATTTTGAAGATATAAGCAAGTGTAGCTCAACTAATATAATAATACAGATATTGTATGGCTGCAGTCACTGCCTCACTCAAGCCGCAGAGTGGTGTCTTGTGTATCGCACTAAACATCGCTGTAGAGTAAGGAATACTATACATAAGCAGTTTAAGGGCTGGGAAAATAGTAGTATATATTGCTAATACCGATATCTTTCCTAACTAATTTTATCCAGACAATTGCTGTCGATATCTTGCGCCAGTTGCCTCAGTACCATAGGAAAGCATGATCAACCGTCAAGGATCGAATAGTTTGCCTAAGGAAGGAAATAGTCCTGGAGAGTCAATGTCGTATACTGTTGAAGTATCTAATAGGGTAGTTCGTGGGTTCTGGGTCTTCGGTTAAGGACTTATGCAACCCAAGCGTGCTGGTATTATAGGCAGCAAATGAGATCCACATACGCAAAAGAGCCAAGGGGGGGAGGGGACATATCTTGACCCTGTTCAGAGTATTCAAGACCGAAAAGAGAAGAGAAAGATATATGCTTGTTACTGTCTGACGGAAAAAAGGAGTGGGAACTGTATAGTTGCCAATTGCTAGGACGTTAATTTTATCTGGTGCGACGATGCCTTAATCTGTAAAATTATCAAGTCTGACATGACTTCGCTCCAAGAGACCACATTCTTTCTCCCTCTCCCCCCCCCCCCCCCCCTCAGGATTCTAAGATCAACAATTTAGGATAATCAAGCGATATCACCGAAAGTTTCGGTCGCATATGCTCATATATTGATGCAATTCTAGCAATCGAGCGATCATGCTCTTATGTACCGACGTGTTTCCCCAATATATTGCAGCCTCGATCAGAAGAACGACTCGTATAGGCAGTCCGCAACCCTTCGCGGCTGTCAAGATGCCAATACGGGCAGGCAGCTCAGAGTGTGAGCTCAGGCTGGAAATTACAGCAAACAAGATTGAATATCTCGCAAGGGAGTTATTCGGAGCCCATACAGAAACAGAAGCAGGAATACGCTATGTATATCTGATGGGCCCGATGTCTACAAGCGCTGTCCCTTATCCCAGCCTGATGCTGAGAGGATGTTGTCCTGCAGCAGTCTTTGAGATATTTGGCAAGGAAATTGCTAGCGATGTCAGGATATAGTTAGGCATAACAGTCTGAATAATAGAGGTAGCGCTGCGCCTGCTCAGTGAATGCTTTTGGATTGCAGAATGGGCGAGAGTGGAAGTGGCAATAGCAGTAGCAATAATAAGAATCTGCATGTTGTTCTCTTTTCTTAAATTGATAGTATTATGCGTAAAGAGAGGGTTAGCAAAGAACCAATGTGAAATATTTAAAGTACAAATGCTTGGAGCTAGCGCAAAAGGAATTTCGCAAATATGGAAAGCGGTTTTCGCAATTTCCACTTATGGAAAACAGTTTTCAATTGGTTAGAAATGTGTCCATAATTTTATTTAAGACTAGAGTATAAATAATGTTCTTACCAAGTCTTTTGTATCTACTTTGCTCTCTAAGTTTAAGGACAAGAAAATGCCTAGCCACGCTGACAGAGAAGTAGTTGCGGCCGGACACCAGCTCGGCGTTGAGCCCGGTTCTCCGCGCTCGACACGGAGAGGTCAAAACGCAAGACAACAATCATCTCCGGAATCTGAGCCAGTGAAGCAGGCTGGAACCTAGATGAAGGTGCCCCAGTAGCTGGATATGGTCATTTTAATGACGGGAGCCCCGAGGAAGAGCTCTAAGTGTATTAAGCTATCTTATATGCAGATATGTCAAACTTTCTTAGTAACACTTATTGGGGAAAAGCTCTTTGATAATCTAAATAAAACTTGCGATCAACGTTATTCACAGTTAAGGTATTATACTAGTACAGAGTTCAACACTCTTTTGACTTAGCACATACATAGCATATTGGCCGTCCGTCTCCCTCACCATACCATATGGTAATCTCAGTTCCATGTTGAATATCACAATGTGCTTTCACACCCAACATGTAATACCCAGAAACTCTCATGCGATTCATCTTTGCCATAGCATGCCCTTCGCATGCATGGTTCATGAGACGGAAACAGTTGCCATGATCAGTGCAGTCAATATCACAATCCACGAAGTCTACAGCCATGTCGCCAGAAACTGTGCCCTTCTGCACAAGTTTCCCTGTGAGGAAGCCAAGAAGCTCACCGCTCTTGTAGACAGTAGCCCCTTTCTGATCACCGAATGCTTCAATTCCAAGGCCCTTCCCCTGAAACCTTCTGATTCGCAGTTTAGACGTTGGCAGTCCTGTGCGATAGCAGTTGCAAGGGCGCTCAGATGTTCGATTTTGACAGAGCTCGCACTGCTCTTCATTGGGTGGTATCAATGTAGGATTTGGCGCGCCATTGAAATCCGACTCAACGTACGAATTTCTCGGAATCGAGTGAACTGGCTGAAGATTTGACAATAGCTCTGCTTCAGTCATATCATAGATGAGGATGTTTCTGCTTTCCCAAACGAAACTGATATCGTCAGATCCAAGGGACTCTTGAAAGGCCTTCCCGGCACAGCAGATGCGTGTGATGTAGTCTTCCTCCTCAGCAAGACGATCATGAAAATAGCGTAACTCAGCATCATTCAGATACTTCTGCATCTGACTTGTACTAAGATTTTGAGGCAGAAAGCATAACAATCCCTCGAAATTTCCGCAGAATGTCGCCCACTGGTTGCCCTCTTGGCGATGTCGATCGAAGTCCTTACTGCTCAGCCGATACTCTTTCAACATCTTCCTCTTCACTGTGCTGTCTAGCCGCTGGCGGCCAACTGCCACCTTCGCACATTGCTTTGCGAACGTATGTTGATGGAGTCGCTTGGTGGTCCTGTATCGTTGCTCGCCTTGAATGATCATCTTCAAGCAATAGACTGCGTTCTCGAGAGTACCGTGTGACAGCTGAACGAAGGCGGTGTCCGCAGGATCAGGCTCCCTTTTCGCTTTGACCAAATCACAGAATTGCTCAATCGCAGCTGGGCTACGAATAAAGCGTATCAAATCTGTCAAGCTAGCCCTGGTCTCTGAATCGAGCCGCCTGGAGACATGGTCTAACCTTTGCGATTTCATCACTCGCTCGGATTGCACGGCCTTCGCTTTGCGTTTCGAGCTCGTGTTTGCTGATGCTGTGCTAGCGATTTCCTGGGTTGGCGCTTTAGGTCGAAGAGTTGCTTGCCGCAACGGCTTGACAGGTAGCGAGATGCGTGTCGGCTGGGCTGGCAGATGAGAGCTCGAGCTAGACTGCGTACTAGGAGCAAGGCCACCGACGGTAGCAGCCGTGCTTCTCGCTTCCTCTTCGATATCATCCTGCTGAGGTGCCACCTTCGTGATCGCCGTATTGGAGAGAGAGTAAAGTCCACACACGCAACATGCTTTGGTCGGTCGTAAGGCAGGTTCATCTGGGAGCGTGAAGTTGATCGCGATGGCAAAACAAGTGGTCAGGTTAACCACAGTATGGTACTGTCCGGGCCTTGTAACCACCATGTCGCCCGGCCCAGCACAAACCAGGTCAAATTCGATCCCTGCAGCTCTCAAGACCTCGGGCGTATACATGAGGTTCATATGACGGACCCATTGATCACATTCCCAGTTTTTAGCCTCCTCTTCTGACTGTTTCCGCACAAAATTCTCAAAGGCGACGTTGTGCGATACCCGGACTAATATCCACAACTTATAGCCTGACAGAACTAGGTTGCATGACCAGAGGCCAGCGTCCTCGAAGTGGAATGCTGTGCCGGATTGGGCGTCTCCGAACATCCAGTAAACTGTGTTGACGCCGGGTATTATTGGAAGCCTTTTGAGACCTTCGCCAGGATCCAAAAGTTGTTCAAAGCGCTCAAAAACAAGTTGATCGGGATCCGAACGTCGAAATGCAGGCTGCTCTCCGCTATAGTAAACACATGGTTGTTTTGGGGGTGACTTGGCTAGATCTGTCAAGTAGCCTGGAATCGTGTCTGGTCGTGGTTTTTCCGCATCAGCCACTATAGGAAACTTCCACAAACTCTCCTCTGTGGGTTTCAAACGAAGAAGTCCAGATTCGACACTGTATTTGACATGCGTATGAGCATAGTCTTTAGCAGGACCTTTCACAGCCTTTTTGACTTCAGATGGATTAAAGATATCCATGTCTGAGATGCGAAAGCAGATTTTGCCCTCAACTGCTAGGTGTTGCGCCAGAGTACTTGTCATGTTTGGTCCCATGTCGCGGATCTTCAGTTCCTGCCTCGCCAAGAACAGCTCTGTGCTGGATGAATGATGCGATCCCTGTAGTTCTGGCATGGAGTGTTCGACGCGGCTCCTGCTAAGCAGATGCGTCAATGGTCGCTTGACGCGGTCTCGAATAATGTTTTGGAGAACTAGACAGATAGTCTCCATGGGCGTCGAAGAATTCCACTGGGTTTGTTCCGGGCAATATTGGGCCACGATCTCTTTGTCAATGCGATCAATATTATCGATCACATGTTGTAAATCTTGTAAAAGTTGTCCTTGCATTGTGCCAGAATTAGAATCAGCGGTGATATCCATCCTTGACTCAATGAATCGATGAGAAACAACGAAGTGTGCAGATAGCAAAGGTCAAGTTTTGCTCCGTCAGTAGAAAAGTATGTGTCGCTGTTGCTTTTGTTTTTGCAATGACTTGGAACTGATTCCGCCCGCAGACGCGTTGCCCAGAAGCCAGTATCCATGCAGACTCATTATGTACAGACGGTACTAAGCACTGCTTTTGCCGGATAAATTCCTAGCTTGCTGTGAATTCCGGTACCGAGAGCCCCCTCAGCCAGGTCTGCAATCCTGTGCAACAACTGGAAACCAGCGTTGCGAATCGTGAAGCGCTTCAGTCTGTATCTGGAAAAGATCGGCAGACCTGGGACTCGCAGACGTTACCTCCTGCCGCCTCCGCTTCCCGGGCGCCCCGCCGAAATGGTCACATATATGATCTGAATTATGCATACAGGGAACTGAGCTGCATACTAGGGTCAACAAGTGCAATTCTAATGCGTACTAGTACTTTGTGCATGTACTGTAGTACTATGGTAAGTCGTGCATGAAGCACGGGCCATAAGGCCAGATTGGTTTTTGTGGCCCGTGCTTAAGCACTAATGCCACGCAGGTCGCAAAACAGATCACCAACAAGAACCAGGTTCCAGGAACTCCTACCCGAGATCCATCACCTCGGCTCATATATGCGTCTCGAGCTGAAATATTTATCTCACATTTACGATTTAGGTAAATCGTGGCAGTCATTAACCAAGAATTCACTCAGCACCACTCTTGTTGATACAGATCTCTTGAAACCTTCAAGATCTTTGGAGCTCGCTATTACAAGCCCTGTGTTATAAGTATTTAATATGCAAGCTGCAGCGCAAGTTGGTCATAAATCATTAAGCCAGTAAGCTATGTGATTCAAGCTTTCATCTTTTAATTGTTTCAATTGTATTGCTTGAAATTGGGTTGCAAAATTCTCTACCTAAGCTAATTCTTTCTTGTTTCAACTTTGCTATAATATTCAACCTGATAGCAATTCAATAATTTCTAACAAGCCTTTCTCTATTGCGAAATCCAAAGCTATTATACTATACTTGCCTGGCTCAGTAGGATTAGCGCTATAGCAATGCTATATATTCGATATAATTATAAAGAATAGCTGTAATAAGCAGTGTATTGTTGTAGTTATTCTTGTTATTAATATTCTCCAAGCAGGATTATTGAACTTCAGGATAATCTTCCAAGAGATATTTCAAAAGCCTATAGCCTTGTATTGTGAATATAACCGGCTTAATATCTTTCACTAAAAAGTAAAATACTATATTCCCTAGCTGATTATACTGAAAAGGATTAATACTATTGTGTAGCAAAAGCTTTATTATATCTTCTTTATTATCTTGGAATTATTTATTAGGGGTTTGAAGAATAAAATGCAAAATAGCATTGCTTCTATTATAAGAGATAGGAATATTGAAATCTATATTACTAGATAGCAGTAAGTCCAGTATAGCTATATTATATAAACAGGTATCGAATAGAACCTAAGTTTATAGTTTTGCTAGTATAATATCTAAATTAAGCAATATACGGACTTATTCGAGATCTCTTGCTAGAATAGCAGAGGCAAGAGCTGCTGATTTCGCATCGATGTTCTGGTTGCTATCAACGAGAGTCGGAGATGAGAGATGACTAGGAGACCATGACGATGCCGAACCAAAACTAACAAGAGTTATCGTCGGCGATGCAAGCGGATCCATCATGATTGTATATTCGAATGGAAAAGCTAATTTGTTAGTCAAAGGATAGAACAGGTGTTTAAATAATATTCAAAGCACTATTAAGGGATCAAGTATATCCCTAATCTTAGAATATGGAAAGAGAATATAGCAATCGATTTCACGGATTCGATTTTCCGTTTTTCTGCATCCCTGCTACATAATAGAGCGCTTCGAGCTTAATAGTTACCCGCTCCTGGTGCATGATCGGGTAACTTGACGGCAGCAAATTTACAGAACTCCCAATCTTGCTCGCAGCTTTGGCGTTGCGTCTCGGCAAGCTCGATTAAGACAAATACACGAGCATGTGATGTAGATTTTCAAGACCCAGCATGCAACACATTGAAACCAAGAATTGAAAGTAGGAAAAGATCTCAGTTAAGTATAGCTAGCAATAATCCAACTGCTCCTTGCCCTCTTGTGTGCAACTGTAGGCTTGTTTTCACGATTCCTTCTTCTCTTCTAGGGTAGTGTCAGCACTTTAGCAGTGATTGAACTGGCCAGAACAGTACTACCTCTGTCGCCGCTGTTGCTTCCGCCCGCTAGATTGCGCGGCATATTTTCCTGGCTTTCGACTTGTATTTTCATAGCAGAAGGTTGGCCAACTATGCGGTTCTTGTCGGCAAGGAGGGCTGGTTCTGTCGAGGATCCCTCATTAGAAAGCTTAGGAAGCTGAGCTTGGTAGTCCAAGAGCAACCATATAATGTTCTTATCGTCGATAGGGGCCGTTCCTCTGAGAACATCCATTACGAACTTAGAAAGAGAGGTTACTAAGCGAAGTTCTCAGGCTGTACCAATTGTGCTGATTGGAAAACAAGCTTCAAAATTGTTTCGAATTGCATCTCTTTCTGACTGTATGGGGTTGTTCGTCTAGGCGCGGGTCATGAGTAGCTTTACTTATGTCGTCGCTGTTGTAAGGTTCCATTGCGAACCGGACCTTTTTCTTTGGCTTCTTTTCGGATCGATATACTTCGAAACAATTTGCAAATCTTGCGTTCTGATCTGCTTTTCTCCTCTTCAATTCCTGTTCCTCGCTTCGCATAGCCTGTTGTGAGTTATATCCATGGTACTCTGTGGAAGCCCGCCTTGGATCCTTAGTATTGACCTTCACAGATCGCACCTTTTGATAGGAGTAGTAATAATAGATATAACCTTCTTCTCGGAAATCGTATAGCTGATAATTCGAATGTTTTTGGTGCGGCGTAGAATGGAGGTTGTGATAACGCAGAATAGAGGGTTTTGACAGCAGCATTCGTGCTGGGATGTAGTCATGCTGAATTCTGAGCTCAGCAAACTCATGATAGCGAGAATGGGGGGACATGTTCCATAACAGCTATAGAAATTGTGGATGAATACGAAGAGTACTCACCCTTGCCATAGTTTCTTGCCCATGGTTGTCTTTAGTTTTAAGTATTGCATCACTATAGACAAGATGCGGATTTTTTTGTTTCTGTTTCCGAGAAATGGGAATCTGACGGGGCTTCCGTTTTTCTCTGCGGCCATCTCGTACCCGTTTAGGACACCTGCTATTGTCAGGGGGCGCTGCACTCTCGGGCTGAAGTGGCAGTCTTCTCTTGTCACAGAACATCACTCGGTACTTCTCAAATGAATCTTTCCAATTAGAATAGATCTGATTATAAGTAAAAACTTACGCAATCATTGAAATATCTGTGTCGGTGTCCAGGATGCCGATTTTTTTTAATGGTCCGGTTGGGCCCGTGTGGGCCCCCCTTAGCCAACCAGAACTCTCCTGATCAGCCTGGTGGTTGTCTCTTAGCAAATTATGTATCTGCTGGTCAACTCACAATGTCAATTATTTTTCATAAGTACTTCTCTTTCATTTGTCGTCGATCCTACATTATGCCTTAGCTAAAAATAAAAAAAAAAATAATAAAAAAAAACCCGCAAGCTGGATCAAAGCTTTCGCAATTGTCTCTCGAAACATAATTAAGCACTTTTCTCTCGTACAGGAACATTACCAACGGAATAAATACACTAAGCAGAATGGTGAAGTAATCCTACTTGTTCCCCAAGGTCCTTCGTTTGGAAACAGGTTGACATCTCCGCCCGTAGCGAAGCGAAAAAACAATGTAGCAGGCTTCCAAAACTTGTAGAGCAAGCGCAAAAGCATTGTTTTTGCCACCGGAATATAATATTTGTATTTTTGAATAATACTACGTAACAGCAGAAGTAGGGTTATCCAAAGTACTATTGCTGCTCATCTTTCAAGAACTTCAGTATGTCTGGGCAACATCTCCACACCCATATCCTCCAGCTTGCGTTTGGATCTACGCCGAGCGGATTTTGGCTGCAAGAAAACTTGTCGTATAAACCGGTCCTCAATAGACTGATCACATTCATGCGAACTCGTTCCGGATTCACCTTCATATCCCAACCACCGACCTGACGTCCATTCATCCGGAGCACTGCATTGCGTATCACCATCAAGCCACAAGAATGGCCGTCTTCTTGTTGGGGGCAGGGCTACAAGGTTCGTTAGTTGACACAATCGTTCGGGAAATCTCATACTTACTGCCTCATTGTATTCAAAGCCTAAATCTTTAAATTCGGCCTACCAATAGTCAGCATTGAATTACAGCTTGAGGTAGAGACTTACCTCTACTAATCTTCTCACACGAGTGTTCCTTTGCTTGATAGCACAACCTGCCATAGAGTCGTAGTGATATATTGTTCTTGCGTGATCGTTGATTTCAAGTAATGTGAAATGGTTCGTGTTGAGGTTCAAGGGGCAAAGGAGTATTAGCCTGGAATCGTCTCTGCCGCCGTCTCTGCACTCATGGCGGTATGCGTCAAGTTTCCTTCTCCAGAGACCGAATGGCTTTGTGACTGGGACAGTATGATTGCCGTTGTGTTGATCAAGAGGGATACTGAGACCATATTTCACGCAGGACGGCCTGTCTGTGAGTTCCATAGCAGCGGCAATAAGCCACAAGTCAAGCCACTGATCTGGACGAAGCCTCTCAAGCGAGCTGAAAGGCAGTTCGATTGCATCCCCCACCATAATCGAGCTATCGGAGCTGGAGTCAGATCCATCACATAACTTATGCAGCTCCTGTTTTCTGGTTTTGTGGATATTTTTTATAGCCTTATGAACTGCAATGTTGTAACGCTCCCGAGACTCCCAAGGCTCAGAAGCAAAAGTTGCTTTGGACAGATAGAAGAACTGCATCACCAGGTTCGATGGCGCTATCTCTGGACAGAGCCTAGCTTTGAAGTAGTAGATTCGCTCATGCTCAGGATTGCAATCCTCAGACTTGGTAAATTCCAAGAAAGCAATATGTGCCCAATCAAATTCCTGAGGGTCTTTTTGATCTTGAGCAATTAGAAACCTAGTTCTAAGTATTAGCCAGTAGGATTACACCTGTGAGATTGGAATATTTACCTCCAAAATATGAGGATGCCTATCATCTCTTTCCAATCCCGGTGCAGCTCAACAGACAATTGGAGGATTTTCTTAACTCTGGTGACGTATTCCTGAATGAAAAGCTTTATTATCTTCATGCTTAGTCGTGAATTGTCCCAGTACAGAATGGTGAGAACTTCGTTCATTTCTGGTAGCAGTGAAGTGGTCCTGAAGGATTCTTTTGTAGAGCTCCTATCACTTGATTTCAGTCGATAGTGGTGAAATATGAAAGCTGCAACCTCGAACACAGTCATCAGGGATTCGAATCTATTGCAAAGCTCTTTGCGCTGCTCTTTGCTAAGATGCCTGAGCCTTTTTTTGCCGTCAGCCATAGGCCAGTCTGTCTCGATCTCCTTTCGTAACTCATCAAAACGCGCTGCGCAGATCCGGAGTCTTTCTTGTGCAATTGCAAATCTAGGAGTTGCGTTGCCAAGCCGCAAGTGTTCTTGCCCTTGAGCTATCAGTCTGCGCTCGCTCTGTGTTTGGCAAAGCCAAGATGGCTGTTGGACATTGCAAAATCCTAGCTCCCATGTTGCTGGATGAAGGTAATGTGTGCTCTTATCCATTGTCGATGATTGAGGAGAGTCGCTAGAGTTATCGTGTAAAGTGTATAATGCTACAAGAGTAGAAGGAGAATATTGCGTAGCGCGGCTTGGGAGGATGTCGCTGCTGAGAGAATCGGAAACTTTGCCGGAAATTGCTGTAATGTAGTACCGTATGTCGATTAGGAGAGTCCTTCTACCCCTTATCTTATTTCTCCAGGGTTGCCATCACGTTTCGTTCATAAACAAGCGAGCTGATTTTCAGCAACTATATCATGCATAGCATACAGTTATGGTAGATACTATGCATGGCTTCCAGCAATAGTACATACTGTGCATAGCATCCAAATATGGTGAGTACTATACATTCCTTCTAGCATAGTGTGTACTGGGATAGGGACCATAGTCAGGAACCATGATCAGGGAAAAGAAACAGGGATAGCGACCATAGCCAGGGTCCATGATCAGGGATAGGGAACAGGGATAGAGACCATAGTCAGGGTCCATGATCAGGGATAAGAAACAGGGATAGCGACCATGGTCAGGATCCATAATCAGGGATAGGGAACAGGGATAGAGACCATAGTCAGGGTCCATGATCAGGGATAGGGAACAGGGATAGAGACCATAGTCAGGAACCATGATCAGGGAAAAGAAACAGGGATAGCGACCATAGCCAGGATCCATAATCAGGGATAGGGAACAGGGATAGAGACCATAGTCAGGGTCCATGATCAGGGATAAGAAACAGGGATAGGGACCATAGTCAGGGTCCATGATCAGGGATTGTGAACGACATTCTAAGTAATATTCAAAGAGGATATTATTTTCCAGTCTTAGAGATCATCAGACACAAGCCTGCTTGGATTATATCTAATTTTTTCTGCAGATTTTCAGTAGGACAGAGGGGCTTGGGGTAGGCAAGAGAGAGCATATACATCTCTTACTTCTCCGAGAATGCTGCTGCTCATCAACCTGTCTTTTGCCCCACCCTGACCAAATCATGAATCCTCCCTATCAATGTGTTTCCGTCGATCTATAGTACCTAGTGATGCCTGTGTTGCTTTTACTTGTTGTGATATATGATAGCTGCATAGGATGAAGTCATGAGATGCAATCAGTCATGATTCGTGAGCCAGACTGCTGATCACCCCATCACGACTTTATCCTGCTGACCGGCCGAGCTGTTTCAGCTGCTTGAACGGTGCCAGGAACTGATCTACCGCTCTCTCAGCTGACATAGGATCAGCAACAGAAAAAGTTCCGCTGCGAGGGTCACATCAAATGACCCATGATGTGGGATTAGATCAAGAAAATACAGACATAGTTTGTAGAGCATCGAGAAGGCGAATTTTGTAGACATAAATTCCAGTATGTGACTAAGACTCTTGATGTCCAATACACTCCCTCATAGGAGCAAAGGAGGTACCCTGGTCCCAATTGACCCATGTCCAGACCTCAATCTGAATGAAGTTTTCTCTCTCTCGGACTAGGTGGTCGAGGAACCTGTAAATTCGTGCCCCAGGGATGCTTTCAACATCGTAGAATGGAAGACAGATATTTCCAGACAGATATCGGACATTACTATCCTGACCAAATGGACCCTGACGGAAAGATGTAAATCCATCGAGATCCGCAGCACATGCATTTTCCCAGCTGAGTACAACATGGCTCAATCTGCACAGATACAAAGTATCCGATGGAACTCTGATGCTATTCACACATGACCAAACAGGCGTATAATGTACTAAAATCTGTTACCAGAGGTCTTGGTTTTTGAACTTGTAAGCACTCACCAGATGCATCCCATTCAATCATCACAGGTGGGCAAGGAAATGTCTCGTCAGAAGAAGGCGACTCCAAGGAATGTGCGCTCCTAGGATGCATGTCGAATTAATGGATAGAGAATTCTAAAGTTTTCCTAGGTGAAAGTACGGAGAACAGCTTGAGGGCAAAGAAAATGCGGCATGGGAAGAATCAATTGTTGATGTTTTATAGACTGAAGGCTCCTAAAACCCACCCCCCTCCCCCCGCTTTCATGCTAATTCCTGGCTTGCACCAAGTAATTTTTCTTTTGCAGACTTGGTGGTCCACCGGGATATCTCAGGTAAAGCAGCGGGAGATCATCTCCGCGATAGCTTCCAGCGATGAGACCATGCATGGTATTGGGGATGAGGAGTGAGGGATGAAAGTCAAGGAAACATTGATTGGGCTTGTACTGTCTGCATTGCTACTTTTTTAATCTCTGACCAAGCTCATCATACCCTAAAGAATGCTAGTGCAGCAATTTAGGTATCATTATATTTCAGCTCTCTCCTCAAGATTTGCTCTTCGATAGATTGAATCAAATGTGGCAGCAGATTTACTTTATACAGCATAGGAAAAGGTTCCAGAACAGGTTAAGACTCATCTAAGCTGGGATGCATAACCTGATGGAATATTGTATTTTTGTTTCTAATGTTTATTGAGTATGATACACTAATTATGCAGAGACTTGCTGGAATAAACCCTGATGATATCACTGATGCAAGATCAACAATGATCCTGTATCCTAGCCAGAGGAACCTTGAGCATATCTTGCCTGCAGCATTCAAAAGTGCACATATCAGCAGCTTACTTCTTGTATCAGAGCCTTCTTATTCAGCTATCATAAGTTACTGAATGATCGAAAATAACTTCTGATATCAGCTAATATTCAGTTATTATTGCATATATTTCATTTGCTATTATATTTGTTATTCAAGTCACTCTTATTATTCTGAAAATCTACACTAAGCAGCTACAATGCTTTCAACATAGCTACCAGTTGCTTTTCAGTATTTGCATATTATCTACATTAGCTGAATTCACTTTTTCCATCATTTCTTTAACTGCCAGCTTTGATATCACATCTCAAACCCTTCTGATTCCCTCATATCTAAGTCTGAAGAGTATTACTATTCTATCTATTACTCTTTTCGAAGTATATATCTATTCTCTTCAAACTTATAAAGATATTAATAATTGTACAGATTACAGACATTATATATAAGCTTATGATAACAATCGATACAATTATTCTCGCTTATTATAATCTTATTCTCAGCACTATGCTCTTTTGAACAAGCATTGTTCTACAAGTGATATTTTTTATTATTGAAGATTAGCTGCTTATTCATCAGGGATATGAATATATTTAAGCTTTTTCAGCTATATCTCATTTTCAAAGTTTCCTTCTCAGCATCTTATATATAACGCGTCTTCGAAACAGGAAATATGCTGTAAAACTGTTATTATGAATACTGATAAGCTGTATTGCACTGGCTGTATCAGTCACAGTCTGCTTCAACACATTGCATACTCAATACCTTGTGCAGTGCATTCTGTGCTCATATATTCTAGTGGAAAAATATGTATAGTAGATTAGTTATAATATGTTTTATTAGCAGAAGGGATCTGGAGAATCTGATTTTGCTTTGGCTTTGAATGATATTTAATGTATATCAAGTTCTTCATAATTCAATCCACCCTATTATCCTAAAATTCCGTATCTGGTGTATTGGAGTTAGTGCTAGTATTGCTTGCTCTTTCTTTCTCCTGTAGAATATCAATACTATTAGATCTGCAGCTAATAGCATGTTTAGAATGATGCAACTGCTCGAGTAATAAGTGTTAATTTCTTTCTAACAAAAGAATCAGAGATACTAACTTTAACATAATGTTGAGTTGCTCTTGAAGCATCTTCTCACAGAAGCTAAGAACTGAGATTTCGATTAATTATATTATCAATATGCTTTTTCACTTTACCGAAAAGCATCTTATAGCCCTTCTCTAATAAGTACAAGCTGTTATCCAAAGTCTTCTCATAATTTGTTTCTATAAGATTCATAAAGAGATCAATCAAAATCATATCAAGCTCTTCCTTCTAAAGCTTAGTATATACTTGCTTCTTACAATTCGCATATAACCGAGTTAATTCTTCAGTCCGAACTATGCTTCTGCTATAAGAAATATCCCATTGAAACTATATAGCTTCATACAATAAAGCTAATAGCATAAGCAAGATTGTCGGATTGTACAATCTCATAAGAGAATATTTGATAATAGCTTCAATATTCTTCTCAAACTCATCTAGAGATATATGCTGTTAATATTCTGAAATATGTGTATCATTAGCACCCGCGAAAAATATCTGCTTAGAGAAGACTTGGTTAGAAAAGATATCCCAGCATATAACTCAATAAAAGCAGAACAACTCACTTCGCTTGCAATTTCTCCAGATAAAGAAATTATCTCTGATATTGCTTGTAGTATTTGCAATATATTCCAGCTAATAAATCCTCGGTTAATAATATTGAGATAGTTATTAGTAACTAGAAATACATTAGTATTAAATAACCACAAATCAGATCTGCTTAACTTATTCTTTGTAATCCTATTATAGAAGCTAGTGCTGGGAGCATTATAGATCTGAGAATCCCCTAGTAGCAACAGCTGAAGCAATAGTTTCTTTCAATATTTGTTAATCTGCAGCCTTGTTTATGTCTGCTGATAATGGAAAACTCACAGCTATAGATTTATCAGTGAAGTATGCTCTTGAACAGACAATTACAGCCAGTATTGATGCAGTTGAATAGAATTTCAAATCGAGAATGAAATTGTCTTTAAGTAGAGTAAGTGAAGGCTTTTAATAGCTTGATCTCACCTCTACCAATTATTTGGTTTTGAACACAGCTAAGCGCTCAGCTGCCTTAGCTCTTATGCACATTAATATAGCAACTGATCAAAGTTTTTCACATCTTAGATATGTTTAACTTGTTGGGACTAAGCAGTCTCCCGCCTTCAATGCAACAGCTCCTATGATGCTGTTTCAGCAATCCGCTGCTGACTGGAATATGAGTATTGTATAGTAGAGTGATAGGAACAGGCCTTTTTGCATCACACCGCTATTCTTTATACTGGCAAATGATTACCTCTGAGCTATCAATAGTGCTACATAGCTAGTTTCTAATCTTACAAGTCTGATAACAGCTGAACAGAGACGAGTAGTTGATTCATAGTCTGCACTTTGTTGCAGTTGTTAACATTCCTTTTTTTGTCCAAATTAGGAAAAGATCTGTTGTATTCCTTGCATTGCTAGCTAAGTCAATTCAACAGTGGATATATTGTGGGTCTACTTAGGTTTTCAGCTTTCTGTTCAGCGGTTAAAGCTACTCGGTGTGTATTTAATCACTCACTTTCATTGTATAGCAGCAGAAAATTCTGCAGTTAATACCACACCCTTGTTCTGTTACAGCATGCTGGCTAGTGTACATGAGCTACATAGTACATCTAAATGCTCAACCCTAGTAATAGCCATCAAATCAATTGCGCAGTTAGAGCTACCTAGCGTGTATTTATCCACCAAGTTTTGTTCTGCTATAGCAGAAAATTCTGCGATTAATGCCACCTGGTGTGAGCCTAATTACTGTGGCAAGGATGATCTGCTAGTGATGTTATAATTAAAGGAGTTGATACTGTGAGTCACTGAGAATAGCTAGCAATTTCAGCTAAATAGCAATATTAATTACAGCTTTGGATAACTCACGCTACACAAAACTGTCTCAAGGGAAAGACGATAGATATCAAAATATTCTAGATTGTGGCATGCTAGATATAAGTTTGAAATACTCACTTTCGAAAGCTCTGCCTCCCGTATGATTTGTTCTTATTACTGCAGCATGCTTGCCTGATTTCATTTTATCAGCTTTTAGCAACTATCAAGAAGGGAATATTGTTAAAATGTCCCAGAATGTGATACTCAGTTCTGATGCTGCGGATCAGTCTCTGCAACAACCTTCAACTTATAATTATCTGCTTCCCAATGAATCAGAGCTGAGGAGTTTCGATCAGTGGCCGCTAGAACCTATGTATAGTCATATGAGATATGGTACGCAAGTGAGAGCGCCAACGTAAGTACAGAAAGACCTGTCTGAGAGTTTGATGCCGTGATCACGTCGCTCATTGCCATCAAAACGCGTGACAGACCTCTGGAAAGACACCCGCTGCCGAAGGGAAGAACAGTCCAGCAAACACCATTCCCAGATTCTCCGCATCCTCCCGCAACCCTAGCCGAACAGACCCAGATATATTTCCCTACCACGGGATCAAATTCACCAGGTTTCGCAACTAAGCATAGGCGAGTTCTAAGAGCCTCGATAGTATATTCATGATACATCCTATCTGGAACAAATATATACTGACTCTCTTAAGGCTTGCAATAGCTGTTGGATGCTTAAAGCAAAATGCAATAAAGGCTAACCATGTAAGAATTGTTGGAAGAAAAATAGCACCTGCGAATACTCTGCTTCAGCTCGAAAGTAAGCTAATCAGCCCAATTATCGATGTTCGCTCTAACAATCAAACTCTTAAAGAAACGAATCCCATTACAAATAGAATAAATGAGATGTTGATGGAGCACAACAGAGTAATTATAGCGGCTATAGGAGAAGTGCGGTCTGAAATCCATGATTTGTGGAATAACAGTCTAGGGAATGGATCATAAGGCTCTGCGCAACGAGGACTGAGCAGTAACTCAAGCGCAAATGAAAATTGAGAGATTGCCCAAACCTGTTATATAATATGGATAACTACACTCCAAAGACGTTCTTGCAACAGGGGAAAATGAAATATATACTATCTGCTATAAGGATCAAGCAATATAGCAACCTTTTCTTCCGCAATTTTTCCGACCCTGACTCCCCGTGGCTAATGATATAGCCAATCAGAGTCACAAAGCACCCAAGTCTATCTCCATTCATCGCCAGCCAAAGCTTTCGCAAGATTTCAAGCTGGATAAGCGCAGAACCACGGAAAGTAAGCACAGTTCATCAGTCATGGAAGCAATGCCTATGCTTCCAAGATTTCAGATCGATTCGTTAGAAATGCCCGAGCGCACTGGCGCAAATCTGATCAGGCTAATGATTCTCAATACAAGTGTATATGCAGAGCTGAGGATAGATGCGCTGAGGGCTGCCTCAACCGCATTACGTAGTATGAGTGTCATGATACGAATTGCAATGTTGGAAAGAAACAATGCAAGAATCGTGCCTTCCAGAATGAATAAAGTGGAAGTCATGAAGACTCCAGATCGTGGTTACGGCATCCAGTAAACAATCTTTTGAGCCGGGCCAGCTTTTACTGGAGTATAATGCTGGTGCTGGTGCTAGTCTTCTGGGAATTGACTGTCTCCTTCCACTCGTCCCGATGCGGATTGGGATAATAGTGTTGCCGGACCTTTCGTGGTGCTCCTACAGCAGCAGTAGCCGCAGCAGCAGAAGCAAGAGGAGAAGGACCGTGGTGATGCTCGGCACTGCTGTAAATCGTCTCGCCCTCCACCTGCAGCTTTCGGCCCCTAAACACGAACCCGTTGAGAAGCATCACCATACGCTTGGCCAGTTCGGCAGTTTGGAAATGGACAAAGGCCAGGCCGCGTGGCTTGCCTTCCCTGGAAAGGGGGATGCGGATCTCGCTGATGAAGCTAGCCTCAGACCCTATCAGATTTAGTACTGCCTCGCGGGTCTGGCTCTCTGTGGCGCGGCTGGAAAGATTGCGTATCTGGATGCCTCGCTGTTCTGTATAGATGACGCCACGCTCTGGGGTCTTACTAGTATCCATAGCTGCCATCTGGCTGTTTTGCATTGCTACCGCCTGCGATCCATACTTGCTGTAGGGCTCATGCGCCGCATATAAGGTGCCTGGATTATATCGTTGCGTGGCGTCCAGGATGCTGCCGGCATAGGCTAGGATAGGTGCTGAGACTTGCCCAGGCTTTTCAGGGGCCGCGAACATGGTACAATAGTTCCTGCCGTCGAGCCGTCCGCTCGATGCCGCCTTTGATTTGCAGGCCTCAAGGCCTCGCACCAGGATTGGGCTGTTTGCGTTCTTGCCTTCCGCAATAATTGCCCTGCCGTTGAATTCAGTACCGTTGAGATGTCCTGTGGTCCAAACTATCATATCAGCACGAGACTTGATATATCAGTATACAACATATGATGGGTACTATCGTCGTACTGAAAGCTGTCTCAAAGTTCTTACGGCCCTTGAGCCTCACCCAGCCCGACGTGCTCTTCCGGAAGAACTCCACATGGTCTACCTCGCAGCCCTGTCGGACGAAGTCTTTGATCTGCTGCCATGATGTGTTGAACGGGAGCTGCAGGCCGCGCCAGTCAGTGGGTGAAATTCTTCTCCAGAAGCTGGGTATAGGTTCTCACATTCGAAATAGGAATATAATAGACACCCGTTTGGTTCCCTGGTAGGGCCATATCCTTAAGCATTTCATGGTCAGAGGCTACCATATTCTTGTTGCCTCAGGAATACCACACAAGCTGGGCAATACAGGTGACAAGAGGAGGAAAGATATTTGTTCTTCCCTATAATTATGAGAGGAGATACAGGGGAGGAAAGGGGGACACGAGGACTCATCTGCCCAAGATATTTAAGTGAAGGGGCATCACGCCAAGTTTAAGAGACGGCATGCCGTCGCGCTCCCTCCCTCCCCTCCTCTCCGGACCAGCAAGGAACCCCGCGCATGCAAACACGCCAGCTCTGCCCGCGCTATTGCACATGGTCAAGTAAAGTAGAAGTAGTGGGGATGATGGGTGTATATGTAGTACCATTGCTGTACTATATAATGATGTCTCGAGTACTGTATACTCATTCCTCAGGCAATATGCCTAAGAGAAGAAAGTATTACAATACAATAGCATACACATAAATATACATAGCGCAGTACACACATCATAGCAGGAACACCTTGTGATGATACCGAGTAGTATGTATGTACGAAGTACTTTGACAGGAAAGAAAGGAGAGGAGTACTATTATCAATAGGGCTATGCAGACGAAGCAGGTACTGAGCAGGGAGTCCCTTGCAGTAGATATTAGCTTATACTTGGATATGAATCCCAGTGGCGCATCCTATACCTTTCTCCGCCTCTGCGCCGGAAGTATCGTTGTCGATCCCGCTGCAGGACGTCTCAGCGCCCTAGGTGCTTAACTAGAAATTGTCGTTTCCGCGCATGTTGTGACAACAGCTTGTAACATTGTTTCCAAAGTCATCTGGTCAAAAGTGATGAATTCCTTTTCTATGAAACACCCTTTACTTACTATTCTGGTTCACAAGATTCACATGTCCATCCCAGTTTCTACTGACCTATTATTCTCTCCCCCGTCCCTCCCTCTCACTTACTCATCGCTTTTTCCTCAGGCCGCCAGCATCATCTCATATGTCAAACGACAATTGGAAATCGGTCCATTGTTCTGTTATCCTCGTGAGCACGCTCTGAAATTCTTGGTATTCCCGAGCGATCCATTGTGACCATCGGACCCGGCAAACACAGCCTATCGGTTTCCACCATATGTGGCTGGGCCAGAGCCATCGCTCGATCGATTGTCATATTCACATGCGATGCTTCAACGAAGTCGCCCAATCGTAGAAGGTTCTGTGACTTGTAATGGACGAGTCGAATAGGAAGGGTTTCGAGCCGAACTATTCTGTATGAAAATTCATCATTGACAAGCTTCATGTTCGGGTTGAGTCTTCGACCTTCTTGAGGACTATGATTTCGGCTGCCCTCGGAGATTTTGAGCGAAAAAGTCGAGAGCGGCAACAGAGAGTAACATCGTGTACAGAAACATACGTCCCCATCAGACGAAACTTGTTGAGATGTCTGGAGATAAATATCAATTTCAAACATGATGCGATAAATGCCAACACCTCTGACAGAGACCTGATTTCCAGCAGGCCAGAAGGCTTGCCCAAGGATCCGGAGGTAGGTAAGGAACCTCAACTTCTCCAATTGTCTGACAGTCTGGAACATTCTGCAATACAACTTAGTAATCATTAGACCTCGTGATAGCAAAATATTAGAGTAACATACACTCTCTCCTGTAATCTCTTCAGAGTTCAGTGATAATCCATTCTCTGTGGGAGACTGCTTGGCCATAGGATCAATGTATGTGTTGTCTGTGTTGAAGGTGTTGTCTGTGTGTTGTCTGAAAGAGGAGACTGAAAGGTTGAGCCATCGTTGTAAGTGTTGTCTCTGTCTGTAGGAGCCTGCGACGTCGAGAGACAGCTCACAATGTAGGAAGCATTGTCCAAAGTCTCAACATGGATATGGAGAAGAAATCGGAGGTTCGGATGGAAAATCAAGTTGCACTTGAGTCGCAGTTATCAGGCTATCCTATAGAATCCTGGCTTTTCCAGATGCTTGACCGTGCATATCGGCGGAGGTAGTTGTGTCGTGCAGGGCTAATGTCTTCCCCTGAAATTCGAGGTAGCAATTTTTCACGGTTCTGTCCAAAGCTGGCAATTTGAAATCGCATTCTTCTGTTGTCCCAAAAACGTATTTTGAAAGAAGACCATCAGTCAAATTTATAGGAAGAGAGGGAGGATGCGTTTTGGGCAGTCGACGAAGCCAGCAGTTCCGCTGGATAACAGCCTTGGCAATTGGCAGTGATATGAGCGATGATAAAGACTGGGCACTCTTGAGATGACATGGTAATGAGTTCTGCCTGAGAAAGTTAAAATAACTTCTCATGCGCATTTAATTACAACCAAGCTGATTTCGTGTGATTGTGGCAATCTGGATCAACATACTGATGGTACGATATAGCTTGCCTGGAACTAGCTTAATTTATTGCCTATATGATCTTCGTCTCACTTCCTAGAAATTTCTACATGCAGGTCCGGTCTGGTGATGATGCAGGCGAATGAAGATGCGCTGGCTGCGTATGCTACAAGCAATCAGGGCCCATCTGTGCAGATAGATCAGGTTACAATTCTTCTTGAGTTTTCTCTGTCTTGAGTCTTGTAGATGCTTCCCTTCGAATTGTTATGCGTTTTGCAACCAGTTTCTCAGTTTTCTCATTGTCCTCTTTGCCGACTTCCAAGTCCACTTTATTGTATGAGTTCTCCTATAGCCTAAATGCGAATCGTGTTGCGGAGGCTGTAACATCTGCCGAACTCGTCGTTGGAGCCGGGGGCTCGAAAATTCCTTCTGCGACGGCATTTCTGAGAATGATATTTTTATCTGACGAAACTAGTCAGACAACAAGTTTTCTCATGGAAATGATGTCTGATTACCTTACGGAGGCTCTTAGTAATGAATTGATATGAGGCTGAAGCAAATTGTGACATCCAAGGGAGAAATGCTTGATATAACGAGGTTGCGTACTGATATAATTTCCATAGTAGAGAGGAGACTCGGGTTGTGAGCTTAATAAATTGAGAAACATTGCTCAAGATGTTTGCGATATTTAGCTGTTGCAAGATATATGCAGCACGCGCGGGCAGTGAAAGGAGGAGAGGGGAGAGTACACGTTACATGTGCAAAGGTTAGTGAGTCACTTGCATGTGCATGCTGGACATCTACTTGGCCCACAGCTTTTTCTGTGGACAAACTTAGCTAGCTGGCCTTCTGCCGTCTTTTTTACACCATCTGCTTTCTCTTACTCAGAACTTTTCCACGTAAGAGATATTTGCTTCTACAGAGATCTCGGAAAGGAAAGTAGATTAAATATGACTGAACCAGTATAGCTATTTCCAATTGCAAATAACTCCGACTAAATTAGGTTCAATTTTCATGTAATTCTATACAAAACTTAATAGAATTATACTTGGAAACCTGATCAACGCATACAACTGTTCTAACTTCCATCACCACCATGAGTTCTTTGCCCCAGTATACCTGATCTAGGAATTTACAAATGCGCTGGCCTGGAATACTATCGATATCGTAGATAGGAAGACGAGTGCTAGGATTCACTTTCCGGATTTTCTCTTCGCGGTAGTTGTAGAAAAATTTCAGAGCTTCGGACAGATTCAAGGTCAGTGCTTGATGGAAGCGGCATACTACAGGTCGCAACTTGAGCTCATGGGCCAGCGTGCCATCGGAAAATTTGACAATTTTTTCGACTGTCCAGATGGGAAGATAGACTGATATCATCAGCAAACAGCTTAGTATCTTGAGGATTAATAACAACTCACGCAATTCATTCCAAGAAACATCCCAGAAATTCTCCACATCGGATACCTCTGTCGCATTTTGAGGAGACAACCTATCCCACGGAATATCCCACAAATCCTCACCCTTAGATGACCCCATGTCGTCTTGGGTGAGGACTAGAGAAGGTGTTCAGCTAAACAGTGTACGCAGCTCCGACGATTGTTGATTCCATGTCCGTTCCGTATTGAGCCAAAAGGTAGGAGAGCTTGGAGTCTCCTGCTTAGTAGAGGAGCTGGACATTTTGTTGTAAGTCATGAGAGAAGCTTGGGAAGTAAAGAGTTAAAATCAACAGGAAGACAGGAAGAGTAACATTCTTTTATACTTGAATTGAAATTATTGCTCACGGTTTATGCATCAACATCTCGCTATACCAGTCACGACCTAATATAAACCTCCCTTTTCCTCCCTTGGTACCTTTTTTCCCTTGTTGATTTGGCTGCTTTGACAGTCCTATGCAACATAAATCTAGAGTTTACCCAATCGCGAGCTTTAAACAGGAGATTTATCTAAGTACAGGGGTAACAATACATACCATGTACCATTGCTGGAAGCTATCCATGGTAGTTACCATACCTGGATGCCATATACTGTTCCTCATCCCTGATCATGGTCCCTGACTATGGTTCCTATCCCTGTTCCTCATCCCTGATCATGGACCCTCGCTATCCCTGTTCCTCATCCCTGATCATGGTTCCTGACCATGGTTCCTATCCCTGTTCCCTATCCCTGATCATGGACCCTGACTATGGTCCCTATCCCTATTTCTTATCCCTGATTATGGTTCCTGACTATGGTCCCTATCCCTAGTTCTCTGTATTTTCAAGTCTCTCTATGCATGCTTGTATGTATATTGTTCCCAGGCTTCCAAGAGCAACAGATCCTGCGGGGTGAAAGATCATCGAGTTTCATATACTTGTTAGTCCTTGTTCTATCGGATTCCGGCTGTTGCATATGCTGCCTAAGGTTAAACCAAATGCATATACTAGGTATGGCATCGGTAGCATCGCCGTATGGAGATCATGGTATCAGCTGCAGCTTGATGAACGGTATAAAGTCATGAATGTACCACTTGCACACCCTGCACAGGCTGCTTCCGTCTTCTTAAGCTTGACCCTTTTGCTACGATGAGTCTGTATTCTATAGAGTACCGCAGAGTCCTTGCAGGGCTGTACTGCGCATCTTGCGGAGCTTACTGTGTTGATATGATCTTTCGAGAGATTGAAACAAGTGAAGTGCTCTGCAAGTCCTGCTTCCTACCCAAGCCTTCAAAAGCACGAGATGCTTTATTTTCGAATTGGATGAAGGACTTTAGTAGAAGAAAGGCCTATGATCGGTTAGTATTTCCAGCCATTCCAGTTTGATCTTCATAAATACTAAGAAATTACTTGGCAGAAAACGAGCTTGCAATTCTGCATATGCCAAAGCTGAGAGCTGTCAGGCGCAAGAGCACTGAACAGCTGCAGATTATAGATATCCCGAGAGGACAAGGGGACTTCATTTGAGCCATCTACTTGAGAACATGCTCATGTACATAGTTACACAACCTCCACCCGGGTAACACAGCCTTACCCTACTTCAAAATTGAAGCTAAAGGTTTCTCAGCAACCTTCTGGTATGCTCACACTGCTGTTGAAATCATGTTCAGCAAAGAATTTTTTAGTCAGGAGCTGCCACGCAAACTGCAGTCATCCCGTGCCTGGGGCTCTCTATGATGACTTGTCACAGATAGTCCACGCAACAGACGCTCCTTCGCGGGAACTTCTCCGAGCACAATGATCTTGTCGGCCTCCTTGACAACCGACATGCCTATGGATGTAAGCACAGGAAGACAGAGACAAGGACAGAGAAGGAGTTTAGCTTACGAGACTATGATCACTGTACGGCCCGCAAAGGCCAAGTCCGCAGCTGCCTTGATCAGCCGCGTTGTCTCCGTCGAGGGAGGCTGTCAGCTCGTCTAGCAATACAATTTCGGGCTTTGCGAGAAAAATGCGGGCCCATAGGAGGGGCTGCTGCTGCCCGCCGGAAAGGGTGCTGTCCTCGAACTTAGCTGCTATCTCAGTCTCCTCGATTTGACGATCGATCATGCTTTCCCATGTTACTGGTGGAGCTGGTGGCAGCGCTTGTGCAAGCCAGCCAAGCTGCAATCAATTTGGTCCCGAATATATTTTTCCGGACGGGAACAAATATTAGCACCGGCTGCATGTTAGAAGCATTGGTCTGGCATATCCCTGGACTGGTAGCAAAGGCTGCATTAGCACAGTCCATACCTAGAAGGCTTGTAAGATCGGAAGAGATCACACTAGAGAAAGTTTATTTCACAGGGATTATCCGATCAGAGTATGTGACCCGAGACACTCTAGTCAGATCTTTGGTTCTAATATCAGGAGAGAGCCATTGACCATATCCCAATTTGATAGGCTTTGACTGCCAGATTTTATAACAGCGACGCAGCCTTATGGCTTCCCTTCACGTTGTTGCATTTTTGCCGGATGCTATCATTCGCTTGATATTCACAATGACCCTCCTGAGCCAAGAATCAGTCATCATTACATGTATCTCGTTTCTTCTTATCTTTTCTGTTCAAATCACTCTACTCTACCTAAAAATCCACATGAACCAGCTATCCGTACAGTCTTCGATTGCTTCTCAGTGCTTTTATATTATCTACATCAGCTGGAGTTATACTTGCCAGTGTCTCCTTGGCTGCTAGTTTCGGGTTGACTTCACACAACCTATTAGTCCCCTCCATTCTCAGCCTGAAAAGTATCACTATTCTTTTAATTACTATATTTGAAGTAAGTCTTTTCTATCAGATATTATATCCAAGATACTGACAAGTTGTAGGTAGTAGATGTTGTCTATGGTCCTTCAAGGATACTTAATAATATCTGCTTTCGCAATCTCTTTTTCTGGACAGGAGTAGCACTACAACTGGTGCTCTTTGTTATTAGGTGGCTGATTCCTAATTGGCATAATCATATCTGGGCTTTGCCAGCTATCTCCCATCTACAAATCTTCCTCCTCAGCATAATTTTCATGATGCACCTTCAACAGAGATACAAGGGAAGAATATTGTCAATGATGGTAGTGAACTGTACTGTCCTGGCAGGATCAGTCGTGGTCTGTTTCACGAATTTGCCCTTTCAACATCTTGCGCGATGTGTTCTTTGTGCATGTATTTTGGTGGAAAAACTTACATGGCAACTTCTTCGGTAGAATGATACTTCTTTATAGCAGGATACGCCCTTACGGTTGGAACCTGTTAGTCCCCATCAGTAACCTTATCCAAATATCTAGTTAATTATGTTCTAGCAAGTGGATTCCAGCTGCAGTATATGCTTTACAACAACCTTAGATCACTCGAGGGGAGAGCTGACTGCTTTACTATGAGCGCTGTCCCCAAGCATTGGAGAGTGCACGGTCATGAGACTCATGACTCTGGGGCTACCGGATAGACTCTGGAGGTTGGATCCTGAAAGTTGGTCCTTGTTGCCTGTGACATGATTCGTAACTAAATCTAACTGAACTTTCAGTTACCAGCCTGTACACAAGTCTGGGCGGCTTCATTTGCCGGACTGAATAGCCGGAGCATAACGTGGTTCTCCAAAAGTAAATGAGTCGCAAAACTAGCCAGTGCCTCGATGTTTAGCTGTGAGTGCGTTCTCGCGGGATTGGCGAGGTAATCTTTTAGCCAATCGTCGGTCTACAGGTCCGGAAGGCGAAAAGACGGACAGCAAGCGAGTAGCTAGCAATGAACTCGGAACTGGAAACGAGGGCACATCTCTCGAAGATTGCAAAGATCTGGTCTGTTTTTCTTCGCAATATTCGCAAGATCAGAAAAGTGTGTACGCGGGCTTTGTTACGGAGTGCTCGTTTCTGATAGTATCCTCGCGTGACTGTTATGACATCTTCGACATTCAGGTCACAGAAAAAAGCGGCACGCACAGAAGACACCCAAAACGGACCCATTGGCGCTGGAAGTTCAACACTTACTAGTACACCCCGTTCCATTCAGGTGAACGGACCCGCTTTATTTTTGCACTTCCCAACTTCTCCACCCAAAACGCGTGTGATTTATGGGCTCGTGAAAACGCCCTTTTTTTGCTTCGACTTTTGAAGAACTTCCTCGCCTGGCCACCCCCCAACACGTGAAGCTATTCCAAACTATACGAATTTTGACTGTATACATGATAGAATATATGGATCTATCACCAGACCTGTCATCTCCAGCGTCTGACAGTGCTGCCGGCGCTCAAGCGTTGCTAGCCCTCAGCACCAGTAAGTCCTACGCCTTCGAGAACAACAGCTATAGCCATATAGCTGTTGACGACGAGGTATATAAGCAGGGAAATAGCCAATTCGATGTCTGATATACGTCTCCTCTAGAAGACCATCTGCCTGAGCCACAGCCTATCCTCCGGAGGGCATCCCAAGAGCGCGAGGCATCCCCTCGCCGGCTTCGTTCGAACCCTAAAGCACGCATGCGATTCGAGCCAGCACCCTTGAAGCCTGCTAAAATGCCTGCTAAACGCAAGGCTAAAGCCTCTTTGAAAGCTCCTGCTGCGAAACGTACAATAGTACAGGAGACTTCTCGTCAACCTGAGCCTGGGAAGTTATCAGCAAAGGCTCAGGCCAGGCTGGATGCCAAAGCAGCTGCTGAAGAGGCAGCAGTCCAGCGAAGAGCTGCTGAACGAGCAGCAATTGCCGAAGAGAAGAGAGCTGAACGAGTAGCAATTGCTGAGGAGAGAAGAGCTCGAGACGAGGAACTGGCAGCGGCTTGAGAGGCTAGAAGAGCTGCTTCTAGGCGCGCTTCTGAGCAGAGGACCGCAGAGCGAGCTGCTGATCGAGCTGCTGCCAAAGCCGCCAAAGCTGCTATCACAAAGGCACAAACGCCTGCCAGCCCTATCGTGATAGAGGGCGAGGATGAGAGCGATGATGCTGAGCAGGCTGAGGACCCCGAGGCTATCGAGATTGCTACTCCAGCAGAGGTCCGCATCGACTGGCATTACCCTCCTCATCGGCGCGCACAGTTTCGAGGAATCGCGCCTCCAGGAGTGCTCACAAAGAGGTTTGCTGGCGTGCCTTGTTTCCTCGACATCGTTATCAAGGATGCCTTAACTGCCTGGCTGGACGAACAAACCATACGAGTTGCTCGAGTTGTAGAAGGACGAACTGTTCGTGCTAAATACAGCTTTGCCAGGATCGTCGTGGGCAGAGGAAATACCATCCATCGAGGCGAGAAGATCCATTGCGACGAGGTAATGAACGACGATTTTCGCAGTGCTGCACAACAAATTAGCGATGTCCTGCTCGATAGGAAGAATCCCCATTGGCTTATCATCACATATACCTTCAACCTCGAGGTCAGCGGCAGCAGATATGTCCCTCATGCTCTATCCAGAGGACTCCCTCCAGCTGCAGCTGGCCAGCTAGCAGCAGATACTCAAGTCGCCATCGAAGCGGAAGCCAGCGAGTTCAACGATCTCTTCACGCCTGCAAGCACAACAGCACGAGCGCTCCAGACGCCAGGAACAGCTCGCTCGCGCTCAAAAGCCTCGAGTCTGTACGAGCAGATCAATGCCGAGATCGCCAGCCAGAGGGACCTCCACAGGCAGCTCAATATCCATTGGCAATGCCGTGATCCTATACGCTATACCAACAACAGAAACAGTACCAAGTTTGCTGTACATTGTTGGGTCGAGCCTGATGGTCGTCATCTGAAGCTTGATCAACAGGACCTGATGCAATGGGCAGAGAAGATCGCGAACAAGGCTGAAAAGGCTGATGTTGACCATATTCCACTTAGTATATATCGCCAGATCCTCGGTCGTGCTATCTTCCGTGCACAAGCAACCTCGAGCACTGGAGATAGCCTTGCATCCAGCTCAACAGCTGAAGCAGCGCCAGCATCAGGTATATGGGAAGACCTCCTAGGCAGAAGAGGGAAGGCACGCGCTGGGAAAAGCAACAGCTCTATCGGCGGCAATATCATCAATATCAACGGAGGAGGAGATCCTGCGATGCTGGCGCAGTTGCTTCAAGGGCAGCTGAACAGACCCGAGTCGACGATGCCCTCATTCCTGCCGCCATCAGCCCCTCCGATGATGCCTCCCTCTGTATATACATCTTATCAGATGCCTGGAGCTGGGCCTTCCTCGAGATATACGCCTTCTCAGGCGCCAACTACGCCACCAGGCCGGCTAATCGTGATATTCTCTTCGAGCCCTGTCGTGCCAGAAGGGCTTGATATAGATGGCTTTATGGACGAGTTCTTCAGGGTACTTCGACGGCGCAAGGCTCGAGATCTGGTGGAGGCTGAGGCTGTTCGTCGCATGGAAGAGAGGCTAGCTCGCGAGAATATTGCCCTCAGCAAGCTTGGCAGCGTGCCATATGGCTGGTACGATACACATGGCATTGAAACACGCACTGTCAACCTGATGCGTCAGTTTCTAAAGGAGTTCCTCATCGAGAAGGGTGGGAATAGCGTCAACTTAGCTGATCAACAGCCTAGAACCCCTTCTGTCTCGCGACAGCCTGATCAACAGCCTGTACCGCCTTCGCAAGCGACGACAGCATCAGCAGCTTCGCCTGGATGGCATCGAATGCCTGGATGGCGAGAGGATTCGTTGCTTCGCGATAGTCAGGTGCCGTTGCCATCTTAGTGTTGATAGCGATAGTTGAAGTGGATTGATAAGGGAGGTTGTAAAACGGGAGGGAGGAGATATAAGAAATAAGAATCTGCAAGGTCTGAGAAATCTATGTATAGCAGGAAACAAGGATATAAGTAATATTAGTGTAATTTGTATGGCAATAGTCGATATATTTCTGTTTTCAAGCTCTGTTCAATACCTAGCATTCTCAAAATCCTCAGTTATACCTCGTCTCCTAACTTCAGCACTATTATCTACCTTTCTCCTAGCCCTAGCACCTGAGCAGCCAGGAAATGCCCTCTAATATTCTCCTTCTTCTCGCCTATCGTGTATACTGATTCAATCAAGAACTGGCGCCAATCATCCTCACTTTCCCAGTTATCTTGGACGTACGCCGCATGCCGTCGAATATATGCCTTAAGCTCGCCAAAGAAGGCTTCAATAGAGTTGAGATGAGGGCTGTACGGAAGGAGGTACTTCAAAACAACACCAGCATCCTCGCACAGCTGCCTGAGGCTATCATGATAGTGGAAAGACGCATTGTTCATCACCAGCACGCTCCGAGGGCCAGGGAAAGGAGTACATCGTGGCAGGACCAGCTCTTGGATATATAGCAGGAAGCCCTCAGCATCAGTGGTACCCTCGTATACCGACAGAGCCACGATGCCTTCAAGAGAAAGCGCTGGCAATATCTGATACCGCATGCCACGATGGGTTCCTCCGCCAGGCACTCGCTTGCGAGCTTTCAATCCGCTAGGTGCCCAGGCAGTTCGTCGGTTTGTCCCTCTCTTATCGATGCCAGATTCATCTATGAAGATGAACTGGCCTGGCTGCCACTCTCTGATTGTCCAGATATAGTCAGCACAAAGGGCTTCATCGCGCTCGAGGGCAACAAGAGCCTGTTTCTTCTTGGTCCAGTTCTCGGTATGAAGACAGCGGCTCAGTATGGCTTTCGAGATCTCGAGATTGAATCATTCGAATAGCCATAGTTGCATCTCATCGAGGTACATATCGCCCTTTTCAGCCAGAAGATCAAGCAATTCCTATCGTTCGAAGTATCAGCATCTGACACAGCCAAGATCGACGAGGAGGATAGGTTTAGGGCATACAGCTAGGTGAAATAGCAGGAGCTTCGTTCGACCAGTGCGGTCCTGCTTAATGAAGATACTCCCTGTGATAACCCATCGCTTTCGAAGCTTTTGAGCATAGTCCGGAGTGATATTTACGCTGGTGGCGATATCTTTGTTGGAAAAGCCACCCTCGAGCAGGCCAGTGATGATGGAGCGGTCTCCATCGCTAAGCCGTGGGCCAGGCATTGGTCCTAATAAGGCCTAACCACCATCATTCGATTCGCGATACTCGATTTTGGTACACTGAATAGCTTCAAAGCCGGACAGCGAGGGTGGGGGGCGGCCAGGCGAGGAAGTTCTTCAAAAGTCGAAGCAAAAAAAGGGCGTTTTCACGAGCCCGTAAATCACACGCGTTTTGGGTGGAGAAGTTGGGAAGTGCAAAAATAAAGCGGGTCCGTTCACCTGAAATGGAACGGGGTGTACAGTCCGGGACAGGATTCCATAATCTGGGGTTAGGGTTATACTGACCAATCAGGAGGGGACCGCAACATTCGCACTGCGACAGCTACGGTCCAGTACTGAAGAGCCAGGTATATAACAACATGTTCCTTACCACAGATAGATCATAGTACATAGCTCTTCAGTCGTCAATCTAAGTTTCAAGTCTAAATACTGCATTCTTGAAAGCCCCAAAGGCAGTGAATACTCGCAAAGCTTATTAGGACTTGTACAGTTTCGTATTCAAGGACTTAACACTTTGATATCGCTCTTGCCTAATATAAACCCAATCAGTACTTACATTATCTTCGGATTACTGCAGTGCTCATTACAGTGACCCAGTTTGAGCTGAGACTTCGACGGGTTGGAGAATCCGGGTGTGAAGTTCGAGGCTTGTAGAATTCACCCTATAACTTTAGCTTCTTGGTTGGAATATGGTCTTGCGAAGTTCTCTGCGCTCTACTAGAGCTGTGTCCGTTGTCGAAAAGGAGAATAATCAAGGAGATACAGTGAGCCAAAGCGCAGTCACACAACAGAGCAATCTGCAAAAGCTTATGTATCCCAAGCGTGCCGAGTAGTTATAGGGACGACAACAAACAAAGGCCCCATGAGCACAAGACACAGTGAGAAACCTGCCTTAGTCCTGTTCAGATAGCTGAGATTGAAAAGAAAAGGAAAGAATAGCTGAATTATCTATATATAAAGAAAATCGAAAAGAAGTAATGCTCTTATATTTATACTAATTACTGAACTCATATATCTTATATTCTAAAATCAACTATACTAGCTATCATAATAATATAAAGATTAAGTAGTTAATCAACAGAACGGAATTAAGACTTAATAATACTCTGTAGAGCAGATTGAAATAAACTCTGAACATGCTTCACAGAATCTTTGCAATCAATTATTTTGATCAGATTCCGAGATAACAAATGCTCAATAATCTGCTTATGATTCTCTCTAAACTTCTGTACTCTCCGCTGTATTATATCAGATTTATTATCGCTCTATTCAGAATCTTTCGCGCAATGCTCAAGCTGTAGAACCAGAGTTTGATCAGAGTATTTCATATTAATTATTGCAAATTCTGCAGTAATCTATATCTTATTAGTTTATGCTTTAGATAGAAAGTAAGAATAGTATATCTTATTCTGAAATTCAGAGAGCTATTCTAAGCTTTATAGAAATCTATTTATAAGTATATCAGCTTTTCTCTATACTTCTGCATTCTGAAGTTTGTTTTCAAGCAGCTGGAGAGTTAATATTGCTGGTATAATAATAGACTTGCAAAAGCTCTTGCTAATAAAGTCTTTGAAAACTGAATCAGAATTCTCTCTCTCCATCCGAAGCAAATCTCTTATAGAAACATGCTCAACATTTAGCTGCTTAGCTGCTCATGCGCATTGAGTTCCTTTACTAACACTAGGCTCTTCAATCACGAAAACTATAAGCAGATTTGCTTTATTGCGCATTTCAAGTATCTCTCACTCTTTAATAATATTATCTGCCTATTATATAAGATAAGAGTTGGTAATCGAGTCTCGATAATGCTTAAAATCATTAAGATTATCATGAGTGAGATGTTGCTTCTTGTATAAGAAGCTCTAATGAAGAGCATTCAATTGGTCGATTTGATGCAAAATTTGAGAAACAAAGCTCTTACGCTTCTCATATTCATCCCAAATCCTCTGTATTCGAATAGCAAAATCCGAATTGCTGCCTTAGTTTGCTAAATAATAGAGAAAGAGCAGTCTCAGACGCTCCCGCATATGTTTCTCCTCTTTCCCTCTCGTATTAGCTTCAACTGGGATGATTAACTGGTTTAGTCTTGCATACCTCAGCTCACTCCATCCGATGGGATGATATCTCCAGCAAAAGCTTCAAGCGCATTATAAATAATAGCCATCTCTATAGTATGAGCTCTATTACTTTCCAATAACTGTAGATCTGTAAGCATAGAGAACTATAATTCTTGCAGAGAAGTGCTTATCCAAGGATAGCTGATACACATTAACGCCATCTGATACATATGAGCAGCAACAGACTCGGGATTCTCGATCCCGCGAAGCATTCAGCCTTGCTGGAGCAATTCTTTTAACTGCGCTGAGGCAGTAAAGAATCGTAACATATTCATACCGCATTCAACTCAGTAGCATTGAATGAGGAGAGTTTAGGATTTGGAAAGCTAAAGGTGATGAAGGGTTAAGAAAGGCTTGTTTACTTAAGTAGACCTGAGAATCGGCTAACCAAATCGAGTAAGTTTGCGGGGTTAACGACCGCTTGAATAAAAGTATTAAAAACATAACCTAAAGCGCAGGAATTACGACAGACATCTCTGCTAATACATTTACTATTTATCTACTATCAACGATTACAGTATAGCTTCCCTATCCGAGAACGAGCTCGATAAGATCAATATCATACTATCCGCTCTAAACCAATCAGTTGATCTTTCTACCTTCGAACATCTCAATAAACCTCTCTCAACAAACTTCGATGCGCTAACTCTCCGATGCCCTAAGCTGCCTGCATTACTGAATGCGCCCATTCCATCTTTACCAGACTATACTCCTCAGGCCGGCTCTACACAGCTTAGCGAACCCCCTCTGCCTCTGCATACATTCGATTCTAGCTGGGAGCAAGAATTTGATATAGGAGACGTTTGTAGCAATTGAGCTCTTCTAACAAACCTTGATATGCTATCTCTACAAGGAGCATAATGCTCCGAGCTGCCTGTTTCGCCAAGTCCGCTCATCTTGTTTCTATCAGACTACACTCGTTAGACCAGCTCTATACAACTCAGTGTATATGCTTCTAGCTGGGATCGAGAAGTTGATATAGAAGTTGTTCATAATAATTAGGGAAATTTGGCGGAGAATTTGATTGATTCAGCTCGGGCAATCAAACGCACTCGCAAGGAAGCGAACGACAGAAAACAGAAGCGATTTCGTCAATCAGTTGCCAGATGCGTGAGCTGCGTATTTCATTATGAAAAGGTATTCAATCTCGAGCTCTTACTTCGAGATTCAAGCTTATGAAGCAAATGCAAGCGCTCTTCTCTCTGTAAGCTATGTCTCCGGCGCAGTATTTCTGAAAGTCTTTGTTCAAAAGCAAGATTATTTAACAAGCTAATTTTTCGAAAGTGTAAGTATGCAGCTATCTTCTCGCTGGTATGATTCTGATAATTTCCAGAGAATAATGCCGAATATCGCTCGCAACTTCGATAGCTGGATATTACGTAGTGCGGCAAGCTATTATATACTACAGTATATTATTACAATTCAGGTTTTCAACTTACAGTGCAGGAGCGTATGTTTGATTCTATAGATGAGAACTAAATCAAGCTGTAGGGAAAAAGTAGTACTGGTTGGAAATCTATTGATATATCAGCTTGAGATATACCCGATGTCTCATTCTTGAATATTGATGAATACATTGCTGAATATATGCCTTATGCTCTCAAGCATTCAAGCGAAGCATGCTAGCTCGATCCGGCTATGGCTGTGGCAGCTGGCAGACTCCAGCTTCTGAAGAGTGCTCAGAGGCTGTGAACAGCGAACTGTCTTCTGCTCAAGAGCTGGCAAGCCTCAAGTGTAAAGCGCGTAAACGATCGAAACAACCTGTACTTTCGAACGAGGCCAGCCCCCAGAGCTGTGCAGAATGCACTGGATTTTAGACTTGAAAGCTATATCTCCAAACTCGAGCGATCACTTCTTGCCAATATCGACAAGAGTATGAAGGATCGTAAGTTAGCTTCGAGAGAGGAATTCTTCAGTACCATTTTCATATTCTTAGCTATCATCAAGAAAAACATCTGGAGATTACTTTTCTGAATCCGCCACAGAGAAGAGGGAAGTTAATCTCTTTGGAAACATAAGTACCAATAAGCTAACAATCCTGACAGGCTTACAAATAGCGACATTCTGAGACTGCGCAAGTTCTGATTAACCGTGCTGTCTTTCAAGTACAAACTCTGCTTACTTATTTGTGATTTGAAGAGATAATTCCAAAATCTTTCCAACAATCTATCTTATACTATAAGATATATATGTTCTAGTTATTTACTATCTTACTAATCTATACAGTTTCGAATAACTAAGCAACTAGTTTATATCTTGAGCATAATAATAATAGCTTGCAGGGCACTTTAACTAGGTTTTGCTTAATTGAGGAGGATAAGAAGTTTGAAGCGTTTGCACATATTAAGTTTTCATAATGTTTCTACGCAGAACTATTCGAAGCTATTTTCTGTTAAGCATTGTTTATTGGAAAATCCCCCCCCCCCCCTTTTCTTTATTCGAAGTCTCTTTTGTATCTATAAGCAGCATAATAGATTGCTATATACTTAGGGACTCGCATATAAAGACTCATATATGATGAACGACTGCACGGGCCACAAGCCCCATTTCAGTCTTGTGGCCCGTGCCCAGTGGTATGTACAGATGGGTATGCAGATATGAGGGATACACCCTTTCGGATTCTCTCAACATGCATTGTATTTCAAGCAATCCTTTCCCTTCTTTCTGATGTTGAGCCCTCTGAGTAGATCCCAGGAAGGCTTTCGATCTGTTCTTGTGCCCTCGTGGCCTCGTTAGTTGTCGTTCTTCTGACTTCAGCACCCCTGGGCTGCAAGAGCTCTTGCCCATTGCTCCGGTGTCAGTCCTCTTGTGCGACTGCGCCCGAATCCTGGTTCATCAGCTATCACAGAGCGTTACATTATCCAAAAAAAAACCATATAATCGAAAGACTTTCACATAGTCTACCTTGCGTACCGGACAGGACCTTCATTTGTTGTTGTATAGTCCACCTGCATCACCCTAACCCTAGCCTATTTCATCCCAAAATGCTCGGACAGAGTCTGGATTCTTGCTTGTGAGTTAATATTCATCTGCTTATCAGATGGCTTACAACATAGCAAAATGATTTTAAAGCAGAATCAAACATTGATCTGGGCTGATCAATTGGGAGGTCATTCTCAACTAGTGAAATTTATTACTGACTTTTAATTAAGTGCTTCTAGAGAAACACCTAAATGCTATTTCCTGAAAATTATTTTTAGTTTTCCGTTTTCTATTTTAATCTCACTACTTTGAACTTGTAAAATCTGTAAGAATAATATAAATAAAGGCACTCAATTGATGTTTTGCTTGAAAAGAGAACTGGATTTCTGCGACTTTTCATTAAAAATAGCAACTCAGTTATGCTTCATAATGATTGCAACATACCACTCAATGGTCATAGAATCGAACGAGATTTCTGCAAAGTACAATTTTGCAGCTGCAGCTGCATGTTGGATAATGCTTGCTGGCTTTTTCATCTTACCTGGCACGTTTACAACATTAAGAAAATCAACAGTCTTCAGCTCTTCCAATGATGGACAGTATATACAAAGCGCAGTCCAAAATATACCGCTTTTGCCTCTCGCTAGCGTTTGCTATCTATCGGGTATAAGCATTATTATCTTTTCTTGGTACTGCTTTCAATCCAAATATATTTGGATTATACGCTATCTTTTAATGTAAGCAATCATTATATTTTACTCTTTCCAAGTATAAATGCTAATGTAAGTTAGGCCAACTATGCTCAATTGTTTGAGCGGACTTCTTACAATTCTGATAAATGTTTATACTGCTCAGAATGGCTTTTGGTCACCGACCGCATGGGCTACTTTAGCAGTTGTTCTATTTACAACTCTTCTTGTATCAAGTGGGATTCTTGTATATCAATGGCGCCTTCGAGCGCTCCGTACAGGACAGTAATTACGTGATTACATTATTTGATATGTATCCCTGTGTCTTCAGTTTGGATACATTGATACTGCTTGTAAGTGTACTTTCGAAAGTCTCTCCAAAGTCTTGTAGTTCACAAGGCCTCGATCTATAACAATGATGGATTCTAATATGCTCGGGATCTTCTCAATCAAGGCTTATATACAAGAATAACATCCTTTTTCTTGAAATGCACACCAATTAGTTATCCGCTGTAGAATCAGTAGATACTGCGCTCTTGATATGGCTCAACCTGTCCTCTTTCTGCTGAGAAAGTAGCCTCCGCCAGGCAGGTCCTCTTGCGAGTTTGACACCAAAGGAATAGAAACAGGCAAGATCATTCTCATGCCATTAGCTACTCGTATCATCAAGTCCCAGCTTGCAAGATCCCTAATACCGTTCTGAGCCAGGGCGACAACAACAGAATCAACCTGATCTTGCAATGTGATAGATGAATTTTGTCTTTGTGTTTGTGTAGCTTTTCACAGATACATAGGCATATCGGGAGAGTCGTTCTGTGAAGTAGCAGGGCTGCAAGAAGAGAGACACCAATCTTTGTCATGCTTTCTGGAGGCAGATTATTCAGATTTACAATCCGTTAGCAGACTGCTTCCAGTTCTCCTCCTAGTATAGCAAATATAAACTACCATTTGGGTACCTCTACGAGTCGACCCGTAAAGGTCAGGCTCTCACAGGAATGGGTGTTTCGGAGAAAGTGGTTAAAGGAGAATTGCTAATAAAAAGGTCGCGTGTTGGTACCTGGTAAGACCGGCCGGTCGAGCTTGCAATGCTTATGCCGGGCAAATCAATATGAAAATTATACTTGAGGCAGATGATGAAATCTCTTAAGCAGGTGGCTAGAAGACTGACATAGCGAGTGCAGACCAGATGCTGTGTTTTCTTATCGTCCAGTGACAGCACGGGAGCTTCAGCATCTGTACTATGATGATTTGACTCCAGTCATTCACTTTGCATAAGCGAAAATGGTACGAAAGGCATCGAGGTGATCTCCAATAGGGTGCTCTTTGATACGTTCGGAACTCGTCATCGTGATATAGGCGTTTAGTAAAAGTGGAAGTGTAAACAACGAGCAAAGAGAAATCATAGTTTGATACCAAACACAACAGGCAAACAGAGCAGCGCTAGTCTATACAGAGCAGGGATGTCTGGTCATTCATTACATAAGCATCATGCTGTCGTACTCGGATTAAGCGGGTCCAGAATGCAAGTTGATCAATATGAGATCATAGTTATACTACATGAGCCTTCTTGTTAGCTTGTCCGCCTCTCACGAAAAAAGGGAGTATACTAACACCGCGGAGGGGAAACAGTACGAAAGAGAGCACGAACAGGCTGGCGTCTGGATAGTGAACCGGGCTCAGACATCGAGAACCCCATTTATTTGACAGATGTAGGCTCATATCGAACATAAACAAACTCGCAGCCAACCAGTCACATGTGCGGAGCTCTCATCCGGTGAATAGATTATCCGCGGCCAATGAACAGTAATCACTGTGGGGCTAGAATCAATCAGTGACATCGCGCCAATGACCAGTAATCGCACCGGCACCCCACACCACCTTATCGATAAGTGCCCAAATTCCTACAAGAACACATGACAAATTGCGTCCTGCCACGACACCTTGAATTTCTACCTGACATCTTTCCATATTTTAACACATTACCTCCGTTCTCCGAAGCTCAAAACACCGGATATTTTGAATCTTATTTGGAACCTATCTTTCTTTAGCCTTTCGGTCGGACCGTCGATATCGGGATTGTCATGTCAGCTACTACATTTTCCTGGGTAATTTCCTCATTCCCTTAGTCAAACCTTGACATACAGGAACTTACAATTAAGCAGGAGGGTAAACAGCTCAGCCAAGGCGCTGATTTCTTCGATGAGAGACAGCCTCTAATCGACATCAAGCCTGTGGATTATGAAAGAAAGCTGTACTTTCGTCAATGCGACCTCGTTACGTTTTCAGCGAATGGGGTTCTTTTGTTCAGCACAAATGGCAGTGAGGAAGGTATACTCCCGAAAGGTATTGGGGTTCGAATATTCCGGGGTCAAGGGAGGTTAGGATGAAGGGGCATAAGTAAGATGAGATGCTGGGTTCTACCAAGGCTCGCATTCTTTTACTCTTGATTAGTTAGGCATTAGTCAGGCTGGAATATGTACATGACAAGGAGCATCTAAGTGAACAATGAATGCACAATCGGTTGGGCCGAATCCCATCCAAGCCTCAGTTTCAGTATGCCATAGCGCGAAGTCGAATCACGCATCTCCAAGCTGACGCATTCGGTTGTCTCCCTCATCCCAACATCTAGCTCCCACCTGCGCAGCTGGCTTTCTGCAATAGCCTGTGTAATATACCCGCCAAACAAGGCGGGAAATGCTGCAACAGAAGCACCTGTACAAACATAAGGATCCAGAGCTGTGTTGTCAGAATCGGGATCATAAATTTGTGTGACAGGCATACTTACAATATCGAGGGCTGTCCGAGCGATTCTCAGGGGGAAACAACTCAGCTATGAGATCCTGAGCTGAGCCGATATCCAGAAATAAAGAGCTATCTGCTTCTCCAAACGCTGGGATGGCCATCCTGATGGTCTCTGTTGTGCCTGCCTCCAATCTACCCTCCTCCCAAATTTTGATAGGACTTAGGTCTATAGACTGGAGGAGACGAGCGGATAGATAATCAGCTTGAGAATCTAGCTTTGTGACGAGCGTGTATGTATAGGAGAGTGCAGTTGTTTCAGGCTTTGGCCGAGTTGTACGAATGGCTGACTATGTGAGTATCTGAGTTACTAACTAAGAGAAACAGTGAAAGACATACCCTGTAGATGCACGGATATCATGCCCTGTAGATATCCAAGCTTGATATGCGTTTTCTTCGCTTGAAGTATACTCAAAAGTTCTGCGCGGTTTCTTTGGTTCATCGCCGCAATGCGAGCTTGACCGAGGCCAACAATGCAGAGAACAACAAAGGGGGGACCGCATCTTTGCTGTACATCTCGAAGAAAAAGCCGAGCTCTTTTCTGCTTCTTGTCCTTAGGTGGTTGTGGCTGTAGCATCAGAGTTGTGTTCAATTGAACTTGCCCCTGTATTCTACTCATACGGCGATGGTCAAGTTTCGTATTCTCCAGTCGTTTCCATGCTTCCGAGGCGGAGAGCGAACGCTGAGCACTCATGATGTCGAGTCTTTGGAGAATGAGGGGGACGTCGTCATTAACGATCGATGGTGAACAAGCTCGGTTATCAGCTCGCGTAACTGGTAAGATTGCAGGGGTTCGAAACCAATGACCAGTCACGTGAGGTTTATCCCGCTAGTTACATCATCTGAGCGCCGCAGTGCCGGCCTTCAGCTTCCACGCCCTGGGATGTTGTCTCGGCCACCAAGCAGACAGACATCCAGCTAAGCTGGCAACTTCCTGCCGTCCAGCGGTCAACCGGTGGGCAGACGGCTGTCCAGCTAAGGAGGCACTGCCGCCGACGAAACGGCCATCCAGCCACACCGATGCACCTCCGCTTTCGCAAACTCCGAACAAGGCCAGCAACACCATCCTGCCAGACCAGGAACACAGGCACCATTATTCGTTACGGTCAGCTTGAGTACGCTGTTGGACAGTTCTTTGAGGCGGCTTATTGGTTGCGGGCGCGAAGGGTCCTCATGCGCTGGTTGCTTCAGCAGATTGAGAATCCCTGAATTCTCGTGCCACTGGCTCAAATTTCTTGCTGAGCTCCGTAGCAGTTGAACTCGATTTAGGCGTGAGCGGATATAGCAGGGCGTGACAATGAAAAAGCGGTGGTGTGGTAACATCACGGTGTTGCATGATGAGAAGGTGGTGGTGACTTTGCGTGTTTTAGTCATTTCCCTGGGCGTCGACCCGTGATCGAGGCGTAAGCTATATATACAGGCACCTTCAACCACGATTCGTTACACCAACCTTACAAATGTTCACCTACATAGAGAGGAAGAGACTGCATATATTTCCGGCAAACTCATTCGGTATAGCAAAGAACCAATTCAAGCACGTCTTTAATATATAGGGTGTAGCGGGAATGTTAAATCTGCCCTCAAGGGCATCGAGGTCAGGCGGTCCATCACAGCGTCCTCTATTGCCTCCTGCATTGCCTCCTCCTTACTCGAGAATTTCTCATCAATTGAGCTCTCAAGTCCATCTAATACATTCTCCCTCACCCGTTCTTCAGAAGAAGCTAGCTTCTCAGCAAACTCAGCCGCCAATATCTGTACAATTTCCTTCTTTTGCATAGCAAGCAACTTCATAACTTCCGATATGAGGGCATCTCGGTGTTCCTGCAGTCGAGCGTCCTGGAGTGCTTCCACAACTGCACGTTTCATGGGTCGAGAGGAAACTTCAACTTCGGTAGCAGGGCTACTCCGGCCGCGTTTTCTGCCACGAGCTGTAAAGGAGTCAGACCGATTATTTGCCAAATGTAGAAAATACTTACAAGAAAATGTAGGAGGCGAGGTATTTGCAACCGCGCTATCATAGGCAGGTGGCACAGGAGTGTTGGTCACACCGGCATCGATTTCAGAAAGGCAATCTCCTTCAAGTATCTGTCCGCCTTGACCCTCGTATAACGACGGGATGATTGCAAATGCAAGACGGCTGATGCTCGGCAGTTGATGGGCTGAGATCGCTATGCAAAGCTGGCGTATCCACCTAGCAGGGAACCTCCTATCTGCAATGCTTGCATGAACTGTGAAAGACGTTTGCGTAGTCAATATGCGCAGAGACTTGATCCTATCATTCGATGGCTGATCTGGAGATGCGAATGTCTTCGGGAGCACCAGAGCCGGTGGCCTGAGCATATCGAAAGTCAGAGCAATTGTGTTACGACCCACGAATTCCTTGGGATCGGGGTCAAAATGAAGTTGCCGAATGCGCTCTGGAGGAATGAAAACAAAGACGCGGACGCCGTTGCGGTGGCGGCTACGGCCCGTGCTAGGCACATCCAGCTTAACACGTGTGTGGACTTTGAAAAAAGCGCCTCTGTTGGTACTCCCTGGGATCCAATGTACATCCAGAAACACGTTTTCCAGGCGATTGCTTGGTTGCCATAAGGCCAAAGCTGGTGCATGTGTAATATCAACATTGGTAGCAGGCCATGTCGGATATATGCCGCCAGAGTTATCAGATGATAAGCTGCTGTCGTTGCTACTGGGAACATGTAGACACCTTGTACCTCTTGAAACGCGTCGATCGATCTCGTCTTCAGCAAGGGGCGTGTTTGGGTTCGTCGCAGTGCACGAGTGGATTGAGGGTGTTGGAGACATAGTAGAACAATAGACTATCGAACAGAGAACCTCTTCATGAAAATGTTAGTATTGCGCGTAGTTACATTGCAAAGGAAGAAAAACCCCCAAGAAAAATCTCAGGATCCCACCCACCCAGGCTTCTGTTTCGAAGAGCAGCCTTGACTCTTAAAAAAAAAAGGATGTGGAAATGACCGCTGAAGTTGAGGATCAGAGATTGCAGGCCGGTGACACCTAACTGGCCGGCCCAGCCACGCCGCCGCCCCAGATTAGTATGCACTGAACCCAACACCCAGGGTCTTTCGTCGGCCGTAGGCGACGAGTGGAAGCCTGTAGATTGGTGCTGGTCGTACTATACTGTCCGTGGAGGAATCGTGGGCAGTGAGAGGGCACAGTGAGGGCACACGTCTACTGTCGCGGTGGGAGGTTGAGTGTCGTTGGTTGAAGGTATATAATGAAGCGGAATACAGATGTCTGGAAAGCGAACCCAAATAGATTCCGGGCGGGCCCATATAGAGTACCATCGGTTCGGATGTCGGCGTGGTCAATGCTTTACCCCGCAGTAATTGGCTGTAGATCACGCCATACCCCTTGCAGAGTTGCTTCAACAAGATGGTCAAGTGTGGTGTTCTGCGATGTATTACGGGGGGGAGCAATCCACAGTGCCCCACTACCTTCTTCAGGGGCAAAAGCGGGTATTGACGAATATACCATTGCTGCAGGCAGGTATGATTCACAAGGGATTATGATTCCTGGCTGGATGGACTACGTAGTTCTCCTCCTTATCCAGCTATTCGGTGCACCACCTCAGCCAGCTCTGCTATCAGCAGGCATGTCCTGTGCGTCTATCGTTGTCAGAGTACCTATCAGCCTCGATCTCCTCAGGCACCATGACTTTTTGATATTCTTCGTTCGCAATCTGCGCAGTGCTGATGCTGGACTCGTATAACTAGCCAACCAGAGTACGTAGAAATTGGCACTACAAGGGCTAAAATGTAGCTAATATGGCGCTAATGACAATCTCGTATCTTTGCCAATCAAAATACAGAAACATAGGACGATGGGGCCTAAAAACATCTAGCGCTGCACTAACACTCGGAGGGATTCGATCCGAAATTACGCCAAGAAAGGAGGCATCACACCGGTACATGAAAACAGAGAGATGGTACATAACAATCGCGATAAGGTACATGAAAGAATACCTTAGGGAAAAACGGGAAACCAGAAATCAGAGGCAGTCGCAAAACGGAAACCACGAAACGGGAAAAAGGAGTGGAACGACGCCGCCATGATTCGAACATGGGCCTCCGAAGATTCTTAAGTACTGATTGGGTTTATGCTAACAAGAGCGATGTCGAAGTGTAAGTCCTCGAATACAGACTCGTACACCACCACACAGTAGATCAATACGGTAGCTGTTATAGCAACATTCAGTAACGTGCCAGAACGGTCGGTTTGACCGTTTTGCCAACGGACCACGATAACGCCAAGGCCGTATCACGAAGCCAGGCTGGGGGGCCCTGGTCCGATATTCTCACACCCTCCACAGAACACAGCCTTTTCCACCCTGTTTCATTTCGACCCTGCCTCGCACTCTATCTCTTCCAAAAATAGCAAGCTAATTACAAACACCTGCCGCCTGACTAGTAATACGGAATTTAACCTATGTTTAATTTAACTGAGGTTGAAGCTCTTCAAGTAAAGCCGCCTTATTATATCTACATCGATTTTCACCTCGACGCGAGTATAACGTGAATGCTTCACATGCACATTTGGAGCCTGCAAACTTCCTGTCACAATAAATCGATATTTTTGATCATTACAGATCAGTAGCAGATGGATCAGCAGGTGGATCAGCAGATGGATCAGCAGAACCAAGCCAGCTGCGCATCGCATTGCAGCAGTGTTATGACCCATCCAACATGCAGGTCACGAAACAGGTCACGAGTAACAAGGACCAGGTGTCAAGAACCCGAACATTCTGACAAAGCACTGATTATATACCCAGTGTCAGGGCCGATTGTGCCAGCAAGGCTCAGGGCCAGCTAAGCCAGCTGGATTACGGATGACTAAGCAATATGCGGCTATAAAGCGGCTTTCTAGCCACGTCAGCACTGCTGAGCAGAACTTAGCTCCTTAGGCCTCAATGTTATTCTGGTTGTATACCCCTGAAAGAGAGAAAAGACCTCGCCACATTGCCTTTGCAACCTTTCCACCTGACACCCAGGGTTAGGATTATAGGCACAGCCAATCAGGAAGGATAGCTTCGGATATGCGCTATCCAAAGCTAGCAGGATAACTTGGATATGTTGCTATTCTACATATCCATACCGAAGAGTCGGATATATAAGGATACGTTCATTACCATGAGAAAGATTCAGTACATAGCTCTTCAGTTGTCAATCTAAGTATCAGATTACCCTCTTACTCTGATAGCCCCAAAGGTAGTGAACACTTGCACGATTACTCAGTTGTGTTTCCGTATTCAAGGCCTGAACCTAGTACCGCTCTTGTTAGCATAAACCCCTTTGTGTACTTTGGAATCTTCGGATTGCTGCAGTGCTCATTACAAATGCAATACTCAATCAAGATTTATCCAGATTATAAAAATCTAACTATATTTATAATAATTAAGATCTTGAATAAGTAACAAGTTAGATAAGCAGAGTTTCTTTTATAGTTCGATTTCAGGATTATATACTGCAAAAGCTTAGAAAATGGTTGAGCAGATACTCTTAGCAGAAGATTAGATTATTGGAATGTAGATTTCTTGGATATATAAAACATCTTTATTTAAGATGAATCGAAGAATCTTATTAATGCATATAAAGAGCTGAATACTATCTTCAGAATCGGATCTTCAGGAAAAGATTCAAAATCAATAACTTTAGATAAATAAGACAGCTATATTAAGAATATATATAGTATATCAGCATATGAATACTAAGAAATCAAAGCAATCTATAAATGTATTAAAAAATATTAGAACTTATTAAGCTTTAGAAAAAGAATTAAAAATCTTCTATAATAATGCAATAACTGCAAGAAAAACAAGGTAGAAAGATATAAGCTTTACAAACTATTACATTTTTTATCAGTACTTACAACTATATAGCAATCCATTAGTTTAGATTTTATTATTAAGCTATCTCTCTAATAAGAACTCTTAACTAAAATGCAATATAATAGCATTTTAGTAATAGTTTATAAACTAAGCAAGTATGCTTATTTTCTTCTCTATAAGAAAAGCAGTATAATAGAAGAACTTGTATATACATTTCTTAGAATAATTATTGCTAATTACAGTATATTAGAAGAAGTAATTTCTAATAGAAACAGAAAGTTTAATTCAAAGTTTTAAACTTTGCTTATAAAACAGCTTAGAATATACTACAGAATATTTACAGTATTTTACTTGCAAACAAATAAACAAATGGAAAGAATAAATCAGATTATCGAATAGTATCTTTAATACTATATTAACCAAGAATAGAATAATTAAGTTAATCTATTACTTCTTATATAATTCGCATATAATAGTGCAGATATAAGCATAATAAAGAAATTACTATTCTTTATATTCTATAGATATAATTCAATAGCTTACTATAAAATACTGCTAGAAGCAAATGCAGAAACTGCAAATAAAAAAGTTAAAAAGATTAAGAAAGTTTAGAAAGAATTCTAGTTAGAACTATAATTTATCCAGAAATAGATAATGCAGTATGCAAACTCCAAGAAAATTGAAAGATTAATCCTACAGAAGAAAGATAAGATCTATTTACTTCGAAAAAATATTAAAATAACTAAGCTTAATAGTAAACTCAATTACAAGAAATTGGAATTATTCAAAATCTTGCAATAGATTTCTCTAATTAATTATAAATTAATACTACTTTATAGAATGAGAATATACTCAGTATTTTACATCTTACTGCTAGAATCAGTAGTATAGAAAATACTAACAAATAATACAATAGAAGTAGAAAATAATAAATCAGAGTATAAGATTGAAAAAATTCTTAAGTACAGAAGTACAAACAATATGCAAGAATATTTTATTAAATAGAAAGATTATCTAGCAAGCGAGAATTTATAGAAACTATAGGAAAATGTTAAAAATGCTCGGGAAAAGATAGCTGAGTATTGGAAAAAGAAAATCAGCACCTAAGAAGATCGCTTCGCTCCGGAATAAGAATCAGGCGCTACAACTTCACTTAAAATACTATCCCAATCCACTACATCAAGAGCATCCCAAGACTAAGCCTCAGCTACAGCTTCAGATTCAGCAGCACGCTAAGCATCCTCCTCTTAACGCTCCTTCTCCTTCAGCTCATTCAGAGAACGCAGACTCTAACTAACTATCTTTGCGCTACAATCATACAAGGAACATTTCTGTTTTTGCAAATGCATCAGACGAGCTGTTGCTTTATCTAGTTTGAACTAAAGCTCAAGAAGAACTTCCTCCGCATTTAACTCCTCTCAATCTAAACAACCAAGCTCGATAATAATGCAAGATACTACCATAGGAGTCAGGAAGCAAGCAGGAAAGAACTCGGAAGGAAAGAAATCTATAAGCATTTACTGGAATACTGAAGCTATTGCAGAAACAATCTCAACGAATACAACAGGAATACCTCTTAGTACCTTTCATTATTTTATATTCCAACCCCTTTGATATACAAAAAAAACAAGGCATAACTTCAAAGTCTTAAAGATCAATAATCAGAGAAAGCTAAAGGCATTATAATATCCGTAGAATCTGAATAAGAATAGCAAATTTTATTGCAACACTTATCAAGAAAAGGATTCCCTATTCTGCAATGGAATTCTGATATGAATTATATGGAGCTATATCCTTATACTGAATACTTTCTTCTTTACAGAACTTTCTCAAAGCAGCTAGAACAAATTCCTTCTCTTCATCAAGCTTAATCTACTTTATCATTCTTTATATCTGTATACTGAGAATTCTAATAATTGCCTTAATACTATTCAGAACCTTATTCTTCTTAATTCCAAATCTAACAATCTTGTATTGCATAGTATTATTAATTATTAGATATATATACTAATATCCTCGGATTGAGATAAGGATTACTATAATAATATTAATATAAATGCCTGCAGCAGCCTCTTCTTCTTAAGCTATAGAATTATAGAACTAGTATTGTAAAGCTATTGCTTCATTGCATATATTGCATAGCAGATACTCAATCTTCTTAGGTGTTATGACCCATCCAACATGCAGGTCACAGAACAGGTCACGAGTAACAGGGACCAGGTGTCAAGGATTCAACGTCCTGACAAAGCATCGATTACATAACTCAGGGTTAGGGTTATTAGCGGATAGATACAGTCGACGTCTATCCCGTCGATGAAGGAATCGATGGAGTCGACATCGATCCTATCTATCCGAACTGGAGAACCAAGTATATAAAGGTTTACATTTCCTACTGTTAGATAGATTTCCTTCAGATAGTTCTTCAGTTGTCAATCTAAGTATCAGACTACTCGCTACTCTGATAGCCCCAAAGGCAGTGAACACTTGCATCGCTTACTGGGACTTGTACGGTTCCGTATTCAAGAACTTGGCACTTTGACACCGCTCTTGTTAGCATAAACCCCCTTTGTATACTTTGGAATCTTCGGATTGCTGCAGTGCTCATTACATTTTGACAACTCTTGTTCAAGAACGATTCAGTATTACCTTCTTGAGCAATACGGAACACGATAGCTCCTTCAGGAACCTCTTCATTCTCATGCGCCTCTACTCAGGAAGAACTGGTTAATCAGGTGTATCAGCTTATCCAGCATATCCAGGATCTGTGCGAATAACAGCAGGCTCAGAGCGCTATCATTGCTAACTAACAAGCTCAGCTAGCCTAATAGGCTCAGCAGGCGCAGTCTATCTCTGCAATCATCAGTAGCGCTGGAAAAGTATACAAAATAAACAAGCTCGCTATATATAATAGCAACCAAAAGACGCTGCATGGATTCCTTATCCACTGCAGAGCGTATTTTCTATACTACAAGACTCAGTTTATCAAGGAATCTGAGAAAGTTATTCTTGCAGAAACTTGTTTCGAAAAGAATGCTCTTATCTAGTACAAGCCTTCTCTATACAATCACTTGGAGCATCAGAACAACCCCGATGTATATATCCAGGATATCAAGAATATATTTAATTCTTTTGAAAGCTTTAAGAAAGCTCTCAAGAAAACCTTTAGTAATTCCAACGAAGAATGTATTACAGCTCAGCAGCTTATGAACCTCAAGCAGATTAAATTAGCTTCTGCTTATATAGTTAGATTCAAGCAATTCTCAATGCAACTTCTATAGAAAGATAAGAATCTTATAAAGCATTATTATAAGGAATTTAAGAATAATATTAAAGATGAAATTTTTAAGCAGAATTAGCTGAAGAACTTTGCAATATTCTCTAATTAAGCTATCTGCATTAATAACTATTTGTATAAATAATGAATAGAGAAATTTAAGAAGAAAGGAAGCTAGACTTGGAGATTTCCAGCTAATATGAGTAAGAAACTTCAAAACAAGAATAGCGGTTAATATAGCAGTATAGCTTAGAGCAGCACTATGCATACTGGTTCCATAGAACTCGATATAGCTAACAAGCAGTATAGCAAGAGGAATAATATCACTTACTATAACTACAATAAACAAGAATACATAGCATACAACTGCTATCAACTCTGAAAAAACAAATAGCAACCAGTTCAGGAAGAATGCTAAGTAAATATTGCTCAGCAATAGGAATCCAATCAACTAAGCAAAAACATTCCCTTGGAACAAATATCGGACTCTGTTAATCATAGAAGTCTCAGCTAAATATTCTGCTATAATAACAACTGCTTAATATATCTCTCGAGTAAGGAAGGTTCAGAATAGTTCTCTTAGAAATCTAGATGCTGCAGACAAATAGCAACAGCAGAACGAGAGTGCATGCTCAGCACTCTTACAAGTAGCAACTCGGACTGCTCTGATATTGCAGAATAGAGCATTCAGACGTTGAAAGAAGAGCTTAATAATAATATTCTTTAATATTCTTCATTGCTTATACTAAATACTATAATCAGAGATATGAATAAGGGATAGTACTCTCTTAGTTACTAGTACAAATACATAAACGATACTGAAAATGCTTTTCAAGCAACGAAAGAATCAAACCAGAGTAAATAGCTTAACGATTCATCAGAATCTCTCATAAACAATGAACTCAAAAAGCTTATAAGAAGGTTTCCCTTCGGTATTAGATGAAACAAGAAAATAACATGAATTGAATATCTTATTTATAGGATAGAATTAGAGAAGCTCTTTACCTGCATTCCCTTGCAGAACATTGAGATATAAGAAAATAAGAACTCTCAAATCAGCTTACTTCACAACCTACACTACGAATTAGCATGGATCTCCTGCACCTATTATAGCTATAGAACGCATTTCTCAGAAAAAGTGCAATACGAATAGTTCCCCATTAGAAAACTAGAACAAATCCTTCAAGCTGTTGAAGAACAGAAACTCCGCTTCAGGAAAGTTCTCAACAGGCAATACTACAATGCATATATCGGGCTACTGGATGATTGCTCCATGCAATGCGCAGATAAAAAGATAGAGTGATAGCAGTATAAGATAATACTCTGCATAATTCATATCAATAACAAAGTTTGCAACTAGCATTAATAGAAGGAAGACTAGGAATAATAATGATACGAGCAAAGGCAAGCTAAGAAGCTTGCTCAAGAAGCAGCAAAGCAGGCTCAGAAGAACAAATAGTTCTCAATGAATTCAAAAGAACAGGATTGCTTGTAAAGGAATTGCAGATGATTAGATCAGAACAGTTCCTATATAAAGCTTTCAGAATAGATTATACTCATATTAAGTTCAACATATACATTCAAGAATATAAGTATAGCATACTATTGAATAGTAGCGCTCAGAAAAACTTTATATTCTTATATATTATCAATCAGACATAATTACAATAGAGATAGAAGAAATGCTTATATACTTTCAGCACTATAGAAGAATAATCTGTTGCATACAACTAAGGAATAATTAATAAGGAAACTAATTATCTATCTATCTTAATCTGAGAATATGTAATCAGAGCTTCTTTTGATATTATGAATACAGCATAGTATGAGCTGATTATAGAGCTTCCATGGCTCAAAGAGCACAATTCTCGAATTAATTGAATTACTGGCTAGATCTTATAAGAACAAGCTATATCCAGAGAAATAGTTGTAATTAATGATGCAGGATTGAAGCTAGTTATTGAAGAATACTCGGAAAAAGAAGCTTCAGATAACTTCATACATACCTTCAAGTCAGCAGAGCTAGCAGTTCAAGGAGAAGAACCTAGTAACAAGCAAATCCAAACAGTGCTAGAGCGCCAACAGGTTAGCAAAACAACGGAAGCAAGACCCTCAGCAAGTCAGTTCGCTCTGGAGCAATAAGGAAAAGCTTCAGAATGTGGATTGTAAATCTACACGGGAAAAATCTCGAAACCAGGCTCTCGAGCGCTCGATCCGGCTCGGAGCGAACGCTCAAGGCTCCCAAAAACGCTATCAAAAACAACGAGCGAAAAGAAGCACGCTCAACAATACCTACTATTTCTCCAGATAGCAGAAACAGCATATGGATCAGAACTAACACTTGCAAGCATACTACGAGAATATCACAAGTTTAAGAAACTATTTTAGAAAGAATTGAATACAGAGTTGCTAGAATACAGCTCATACAACCACGAGATCCTGCTATAAGAAGAGAAACAGCTCAAGTTCTTTCCTATCTACGAACTAGATAAAGCATAGCTAGAAATACTTAGGAAGTATCTCGATAAGAATCTTAAGAAAGAATACATATAATCATTACAATTATCAGCAGAATACTCTATTCTATTTATATCTAAGAAAAACAGCAAGCTCAGGCTATATATTGATTACAGGCAATTCAATGATATTACAATTAAGAACTGATATCCGTTGCTACTTATTAAGGAATTATAAGATAGATTACAAGGAGCATAGTAGTTCATAGTTCTAAATCTAAAAGGAGCTTATAATCTAATCAGAGTAAAGAAAGAAGAAGAATAGAAAACTGCTTTCAGAATACGCTATGGATACTACGAATATTTGATTATACTCTTTGGTCTAACGAATGCTTCAGCTTCATTCCAGGAAATGATTAATCATGTTCTATGCAAGCATCTGAATCAGTTCATTATTGCTTATCTCGATAACATTCTTATCTACTCTCGAATACTTGAAGAATACAAGAAATATATGAAAACAGTGTTGCAAACGCTTCAAGATGCAAAGCTTCTTGTAGAACCCGCAAAGAATTACTTTCACATACAAAAGATCAATTACTTCGAATTTACAATCAAGCTAGGGTGCATTAAGCTACAGAAAGATAAGATGGAAGCTGTTAGGAACTAGCTAATTCCTAGGAATATTAGGAATATTAAATCTTTTCTCGAATACATCAACTTCTACAAACAGTTCATTAAGAACTATAGCTGAATCGCATACTCTCTTACAAATCTTACTAAGAAAGAATAGCCTTTCGAATAGATCTCCAAGGCGCAAGAAGCTTTCAACGAGATCATCAGGCATGTTACTTTAGAACCAGTTCTGTATGAAGCAGATCCTCACAAACCTTTTGAAATTGAAACTGATGCATCAGAATATGCACTCAGGAGACAACTTGGTTAGCAAGATGACTAAGAATGTTTAAGAATTATAAGCAACTTTTCGAAGAAGCTGAATAAGCTAGAAGTTAATTACAGAATCCCTAATTAGAAGCTTATAGCAATAGTAAAAGCTTTTAAGGAATAGCAATACTATCTTATTAGCATACAGCACCTGATCATAGTGCACTTAGATTACAAAAATCTAACTATATTCATAATGATCAAAGTTTTGAACAAACAATAAATCAAATAAGCAGAATTTCTTTTACAATTCAACTTCAGAATTGTATACTGCAAAGGCTCAGAAAACGGACGAGCAGATGCTCTTAGCAGAAGATCAGACTATCGAAATACAGATTCCTCGGATATACAGAACATCTTTGCCCAAGACGAATCGGGAAACCTCGTTAATATACATAGAGAACTGAATGCTGCCTTCAGAATTGAATCTTCAGGAAAAGACTTAGAATCAATAACTCCAGACGAATAAAACAACTATATTAAGAATGTATACAGTACACCAGCATACGGATATCAGAAAGTCAGAGCAACTTACGAATGCATTAGAAAACACTAAAGTTTACTAAGCCTTAGGAAAAGAATTGAGAATATCCTATAGCAATGCAACAGCTGCAAAAAGAATAAGGCAGAAAGATACAAGCTTTATAAATTACTGCATCTCTTACTAGTACTTACAACTATTTAGCAGTCTATCAGTCTAAACTTTATTATCAAGCTACCTTTCTCACGAGAATTCTTAACTAAGATACAATATAATAGCATTCTAGTAATGGTTTGCAAACTGAGCAAATATGCTTATTTTCTTTCTTATAAGGAAAGCAGTATAGCAGAGAAACTTGCATATACATTCCTCAGAACGATCATTGCTAATTATAGCATACTAGAGGAAGTAATCTCCGATAGAGATAGAAAGTTCAATTCGAAGTTTTGAACTTTGCTTATAAAATAGCTCGGAATACATTACAGAATGTTTACAGTATTTCATCTACAAATAGATGAACAGATAGAAAGAATGAATTAAGTTGTTAAACAGTATTTTCGATACTATATCAACTAGGAATAGAATAACTGGATTAATCTATTATTCCTCGCACAGTTCGCTTATAATAATACAAATACGAGTATAACGAAGAAATCACTGTTCTTTACACTCTACGAATACAATCTAACAGCTTACTACAAAGCACTGCTAGAAGCAGATGCAGAAGCTGCAGACAAAAGAGTTAAAAAGATCAGGAAAGTTCAGAAGGAATTCCGATTAGAATTACAATTTGTTCAAGAACAAATAATACGATATGCAAACTTCAAAAGAATTGAGGAACTAATCCTACAGAAAGGAAATAAAGCTTACTTACTTTGAAAAAACATTAAAACAACTAAACCCAGCAATAAACTTGATTACAAAAAGTTGGGACTATTCAAAATCTTACAATAAATCTCCCCGATTAACTACGAATTAGCATTACCTCATGGAATAAGAATACACCCGGTTTTCCACATCTCACTACTGAAACCAGCAGCATAGAAAACATCAACGGATGATACAGCAGAAGTAGAAAATAACGAACCAGAGTATGAGATAGAGAAGATCTTCAAGCATAGAGGTATAGACAATACAAGAGAATATCTCATCAAATGGAAAGATTACTCAGCAAGCGAAAATTCTTGGAAACTGCAGAAAAACGTTAAAAATGCTCAGGAAAAGGTAGCTGAATATTGGAAAAGGAAAACCAGCACCTAAGACGATCGCTCCGCCCCGGACCGAGATCCAGGGCCCTCAGAAACCTCGCTCTCCAGGAAACCCGACCAATCTACCACTGCATTCCCCACGTCCACGGAATTCCAGTCAAAACCCTCAAAAGAAGAATCTTCAGCAACCACAGCAGATTCCTCTGCAACCACAGAACGAACCCCGGCAGCGATGCGAGCCCGCTTCTCCGCCTCCACCCTTTCCAACTCCTTCACATTGTTAATACCCCGACGAACGGCACGCATCATCTTTTCGTACCACATCCTTTTCTGCTTACGCAGCCTAAGGAGTTTAGCATTCAGCTCAGCAGCCTCCTCTTCAATCACCTCCACCTCTGCCTCCAGGCAACAGTATTAAGCGGTCATACGATTCAATTGTGCAGACGTTAGGCTACGAACATCGCAATTCGATAAACTCAGACGTACACAGGTCTGACAACGGGAAGATTCGGACTCGGCAACCTTGCACTCAGCTGAAAGATTGTGATCTTCGCAGTATGAGCAAGGCATGGGCGAAAGAGAACTGAAGGTGGCCACGGCAGAAAGAAGGGACGATTTCTGCGAAGAACGAGAATAAGGCTTAGCAACACGACGAGAACTGACTCTGTTCGACATCTCGATTAGGAAGGCAAGATCATGGACGGAAGATTTGCTAGGGTACTTACGAAAGATCGTTGGGGACAATGACTGATAGGAGGGAGATGATGTTATGATCCATCCAACATGCAGGTCACAGAACAGGTCATGAGTAACAGGGATCAGGTGTCAAGGATTCAACGTCCTGATAAAGCATCGATTATATAACCCAGGGTTAGGGTTATTAGCGGATAGATACAGTCAACGTCTATCCCGTTGATAAAGGAATCGATGGAGTCGATATCGATCCTATCTATCCGGACTGGAGAACCAAGTATATGAAGGTTTACATTTCCTACTGTTAGATAGATTTCCTTCAGATAGTTCTTCAGTTGTCAATCTAAGTATCAGACTACTTGCTACTCTGATAGCCCCAAAGGCAGTGAACACTTGCATCGCTTACTGGGACTTGTATGGTTCCGTATTCAAGGACTTGGCACTTTGACACCGCTCTTGTTAGCATAAACCCCCTTTGTGTACTTTGGAATCTTCGGATTGCTGCAGTGCTCATTACATTAGGATTAATCTGCACTTCAGTGCTTATCTCAATAATCTTCGCAAGCTATTCTAGGCTTGAATGCTTTAGGCAGCAATGCTAGAGCTTGAAATGCTTCTTTTCCTTATTGCTCAGCATAGCTATTATAGCCTGTGTTAGGGCCGATTGTGCCAGCAAGGCTCAGAGCCAGCTAAGCCAGCTGGATTACGGATGACTAAGCAATATGCGGCTATAAAGCGGCTTTCTAGCTATATCAGCACTGCTGAGCAGAACTTAGCTCCTTAGGCTTCAATGTTATTCTGGTTGTATGCCCCTGAAAGAGAGAAAAGATCTCGCTACATTGCCTTTGCAACCTTTTCACCTGATAGTTTGAGGCTTAGCCCTTTTAAAGGAGGCAATCTAGCGAGGCTTTCTATCTTTTTTTTCTCCTAGGAGCAGCGCTAATACTGAGTAGGAGCAGAGCAAACGATCAGACTACTATTTTTTTTCGAATCTTCAAGCCTTTAATCTTCGAGCTTTTAATCTTCGAGCCTTTAATCTTCGAGCCTTTAACCTTCGAGCCTTTGATCTTCGAGCTTTTAATCTTCGAGCTTTCGATTTTCGAACTTTCGAGCTTTGAAGACAGCGAGCAAGCAGTGTGCAAGCAGCGTGCGAGAAGCGTTCAGAAGAGATTCAGAGCACTCGAGTCGCTAGGCTAGAGCAAATAGCGAGCAAGCAGTATGCAAGCAGCATGCGAGAAGCATTCAGAAGAGATTCAGAGCATTCGAGTCGCTAAGCTAGAGCAAACAGCGAGCAAGCAGTATGCAAGCAGCATGCGAAAAGCGTTCAGAAGAGAGTTAGAGCATTCGAGTTGCTAAGCTAGAGCAAATAGCAAGCAAGCAGTATGCAAGCAGCATGCGAGAAGCATTCAGAAGAGATTTAGAGCATTCGAGTTGCTAAGCTAGAGCAAACAGCGAGCAAGCAGTATACAAGCAGCATGCAAAAAGCGTTCAGAAGAGATTCAGAGCATTCGAGTTGCTAAGCTAGAACAAAGTATGCTCTTTGCTATTCGAGCAAGAGAGCAGAGTGAGCAAGCAGCAGATCTGAGTGTTTTCTGTTTTCGAGAGTGCATCTTTCGCTATTCGAGCAAGGAAGCAGAGTAAGCAAGCAGTAGATCTGAGTATCTTCTGTTTTCGAGAGTATATTCTTTGCTATTCGAGTGAGAGAGCAAAGTGAGCAAGCAGTAGATCTGAGTATCTTCTGTTTTCGAAAGTATATTTTTTGCTATTCAAGCAAGAGAGCAGAGTGAGCAAGCAGTAGATCTGAGTATCTTCTGTTTTTGAGAGTATATTCTTTGCTATTTAAGTAAGAGCATAGAGCTAAAGCGGAGTATCTGCTTAGCAACTGAAGTTGCTTAGATATTAGATTGCGAACTAATTACTTTTCTATATCTAGCAGTAAAACGAAGCATAGCAATAGCTTCAGAGTTGCTAGAGAGCAACTCTTAAGATAGAAAGCTGTAATTATTCGTTATAGCTATAGAAATGCTATTCTGAATGCTAAGCTTCTTAGCTGCAAATCAAGTTCCTAATGAAAGGCTTGCAATCTACATCAAATAGCTTTAAGTTCTGAAGAATATCTGAATAAAGCGCTGAGAGAGCAGCAACTGAGCAGCGTATATAGCGTGGATATTGTACTCGGAAGATTTACGTTTGGAATGTGATTAAAAAGAGATTTTTTTTTTCACAGGCTTCGGGAACGAAGCTAGAAGAGAAGGAGGGAGATGGTTGAGAGGCTTTGAGAGGCTTGAGGCACTGAGAGATCTTGAGAAGCTTTGAGAAGCCTGAGACTCTGAAAGGCTTTGAGAAGCCTGAAGCACTGAGAGATCTTGAGAGACCTTGAGTGGCTTAGAAGCCTGAGGCACTGAGAGATCTTGAGAAGCCTTAAGAGGCCTGAAGCACTGAGAGACCTTGAGAAGCCTTGAGAGGCTTGAGGCACTGAGAGACCTTGAGAGACCTTGAGAGGCCTGAGGCACTGAGAGATCTTGAGAGGCCTTGAGAGGCCTGAGGCACTGAGAGACCTTGAGAAACCTTGAGTGGCTTAGAAGCCTGAGGCACTGAGAGATCTTGAGAGGCTTTGAGAAACCTGAGGCACTGAGGGATCTTGAGAAGCTTTGAGAAGCCTGAAGCACTGAGAGATCTTAAGAGCCTGAAGCATTGAGAAGGAGTAGGAGCAGCTAGGAAGCAGCGAAAGCCTGGAAGCAACGGAAGCCTGGGAGCAACGGAAGCCTGGAAGCAACGAAAGCTTAGAAGCCTCAAAGGCCTTGAGAACAAGGCCTGATAAGAGGGAACAATCTGTCAGAGCCGATTGTGCTAGCAAGGCTCAGAGCCAGCTAAGCCAGCTGGATTACGGATGACTAAGCAATATGCGGCTATAAAGCGGCTTTCTAGCCACGTCAGCACTGCTGAGCAGAACTTAGCTCCTTAGGCCTCAATGTTATTCTGGTTGTATGCCCCTGTGTAATGAGCACTGCAGCAATCCGAAGATTCCTAAGTACACGAAGGGGTTTATGCTAACAAGAGCGATATCAAAGTATCAAGTCCTTGAATACGGAACCGTACAAGTCTTAATAAGCGATGCAAGTGTTCACTGCCTTTGGAGCTATCAGAGTTGAGAGTAATCTGATACTTAGATTGACAACTGAAGAGCTATGTACTGAATCTATCTAATAGTAATGAACGTTTGCTTATATATTCAGCTCTTCAGTATGGCTTGTTGGGATCGCTGGCAAGCTTAGCGATCCAAGGTGTGAAGCTCGTCAGGATCGCTAGCGAGCCCAGCGATCCTTTCTTCTTTACAATCTTAATCCTGGGTTATGTAATCAATGTTTTGTCAGAACGTTGGATTCTTGATACCTGGTTCTTATTACTCGTGATCTGTTTTGTAATCTGCATGTTGGATGGATTATAACATCATTTCCCTTCTATCAGTCGTTGTTCTCAACGATCTTCTGTAAGTATTCTAGCAAGTTTCCGTATTCATGATCTTGCCTTCCTAATTGAGATGTTGAATAGGATTAATAAAGTTGCGAAACTGAAATCTTCGAATTCTCGTTCTAACAAAAAGAAACAGAAAGACTTCCTTCTTCAGTTCATTCTCTTAAACAGTTTCGATATGCGTTCCTGTTCTTATTGCAATAGTTGGGGCCTGTAATCGTATATCGTTTCTTCTTACGATTCGTTCCGTTGCTCGGAGTGCGTTTTCCAGAATCGTGCTAAGTGTAACGTTCTGGAACTGATAAACGCTGCTGAACTTCTCTTTATCTCTATTCAATATCGAAAGCTGAAGGATAAGATAGAAGAGTTGGAGTTAAAGTTGCTTTGATTGCATTAATAAAAGAAGATGTGGCGTGAAAGGATGTCTCGAGCTATTTATCGAAGCTTTACGAATCTCGAAGAGCTTGAGAAAGAGAAAGCTGAGAAGGCTGAGGCTGAGAGAGTGCATGTTGCTGCTGAAATGCAGGCTATAGTAGCTGAGGAATCTGCTGTTGCAGCTGGGGATTCTTCTTTTGAGGGTTTTGATTGGAATTCTGTAGATTTGGGGAATTCTGTGGTTAATTGATCGGATTTCCTGGAGAATAAGATCTCCGAAGCTCCTGGATCTCGGTTTGGGGCGGAGCGATCATTCTAGGTGCTGGCTTTTCTTTTCCAATATTCAGCTACCTTTTTCTGAGCATTTTCAACGTTTTTTCGTAGTTTCTACGAATTCTTGCTTGCTGGATAACCTTTTCACTTGATGAGGTACTCCCTTGTATTATCTATGCTTCTGTGCTTAAGGATTTTCTCTACCTCGTATTCTAGCTCGTTATTTTCTATTTCTGCTGTATTATCCACTGATACTTCCTATGCTGCTGATTTCAGCAGTAAGATGTGAAATACTGAATATATTCTCATCTTGTAAGATAATGCTAACTTGTAATTAACTGAGAAAATTTGTTGCAAGATTTTGAATGATTCCAACTTCTTATAATCGAGTTTGTTGCTAGGCTTGATTATTTTAATGTTTTTCCGAAGTAGATAGATCTTATCTCCTTTCTATAGAATTGATCTTTCAATCCTTTTGGAGTTTGCATATTGCATTATTCGTTTTTGAATGAATTGTAATTCTGATCAGAATTTCTTCCAAACTTTCTTAATCTTTTTAACTTTTTCATCTGCAGTTTCTGCATTTGCTTCTAGCAGTGCTTTATAATAAGTTGTTAGATTGTATTTATAGAGTATAAAGAATAATAATTTCTTTATTATACTTGTATTTGCGCTATTATAAGCGAACTATATAAGAAGTAATAGATTAATTCAGTTATTCTGTTTCTGATTGATATAGTATTAAAAGTATTATTTAATAACTTGATTTATTCTTTTTATCTATTTATCTGTTTGTAAATGAAATGCTATAGATATTCTATAGTATATTCTAAGCTATTTTATAAGTAAAGTTCAGAACT